GGACTCTGCAGCATCCAGACTTTAGTTCAGACTTCATTGCAGACTTCAGTGCAGTGGGACGGCGTGCAGTGTGTGGACCAGGATCAGCATTGGTACACCAGACGCATCAACCACCTCAACCGACACAGCAGCAACAGAGACAGCGGCATCGACATCCCCGGGTTCTGGCTCCCCACCATCCGTCAACACAATCACTGCAGCACCAGGGCACAACGGAGCCACACCGAGGACACGCCCCTTCACTTCCATGGAGTGGAGCGTGCGACGACCGCTGAGGTCACCCGTACTAGGTCCGCAGTATACGGCGGGGGGCACGAGGAGGACACAGTCCATCGGTATATAATGGACTCTGCAGCATCCATACTTCAGTTGCCCGATGAAGGCTAGCAGCACCAGCAGCCAAAACGTCGCTACCAGCAACACGACATCGCGAGTCATCGATCATCTTTTTCTCTAGTTAGTTTTGTTTTTAAATCTGTGCTCGTTTTATGGTGTTTTTAAATCATCGTTTGTGTTTCATGAGATGGGGCCTATTTCCCGTATGGACATTCAAGACACAATTTCTCTCATTGTGTGCTAACCATGACTGTTTTTTTTTCTTTTTTAATATAACGTAAGCCCCAATTTGTCTTAAATTTGGCGGCCTCTCCTGGTGGGATAATTTTCAACTGATCTTATTTTTTCTTTCTCCATATTTTATAATTTTGATTTTCCCGTCTTAATGTATTTGTCTCTTTTATATATTGACCCCCATGTATTTTATGTCGTGATACTGTGTCATATGTTGTTCGTGTTACTCGCTGTGATGTGGAGGGTGTGGAGAGACACGCCCTTTTGGCGACGGTGTTCGAATACGCTTTTGGCCTTTCACTGTCTTTTTCTTCATCCTGTCTGTGTATTTCTTCTAAGATTTAATGTCTTTTACACTGTACTTTTTTTTCTTAACGCGTATCGTATATCTATGTGTTTATATTTAAAAATTTGCCTAAATAAATTATATTATTTTCATTACTTAACTTGATTCCCTCCAAAACACGGTTCTTCGGCCGCATTGTACCATTCTGGCCGGCTGGGCTCGGAGCCATATTATTATGATAGGCGCAATGCATCGGGACTGCGCGAAGTGAAATAGAACTTTGTATTGCTGGAAACGCATGGGTATTCGTTTCCAAGATTCCATCTTTTCAATTTGAGAACTCTGAATCAAATATGTACCTTGGTGTGGTTGCATCGAAGAGTTGAACGTCAGCTGAAGTGGTCGAAGGGGTGGGTTTTGGAACAACCCTCTCGATAGAGATTAGCGACCACAAGTTTTTCTTTCACCAGAAAATCGAGCCCTGAGAACTAGTCTCCGCCTGCGTGAGAGACGGACGAAAGTGGCACTTTGTATTATGTCGCCAATGTAGTCCATAAAGTTTGGCCTGAAGTTGTATACAGCGACGCGGCCCGTGGACCCACTGGGTTTGTCAAGTCGTTGAAACTAAAAGATTAAGGATTATAAATCTATCAGATGAAGCCAAGATTTCAGTCTCTTGCTGAAGTAGAAGAGAATTGGCATCATTGAAAGGGAATGTGAGAAATAAAGACAGGTTTGATGGAAAAACCTGTCAGTGATTTATGGGAATAGGCCGAAGAATGTGCTACAAGTATGCATATGCATATTTATTTATCAAATATTAGCACCCAAACCCTAACAAAACAACACCAACAAATATAAGCAAGGATGTCTGAACCATGAGTATGGCTTTTTGATTTTTTTCTCCCCAATAGCAAGTTGAGTGAGCCCAAAGCCGCATTTGAATTTCCCCCTCACCAGACATCAAAAGCTGAATACGCCTTTGCAGCATCATCAATAATTAGTCCAGGTTTGGAAGTTAAAAATAGGAACTAAAAAGAGCAGTTTTATTCCGACCAACCCTATATAGCTAAAATGTGTAAGTCAGCCTACACACCTAGGGACTCCAGATTTAAAACAAGCGCCCCCTAACGTCAGTTGTTCTATATCGTCACCTAAAAATTTCAAGACCAAAGTAATTTTTAGCTCTAGCTGTCATAGGATGTTTAGCTGATGGCCTACAAGGAACGACACGCTTGTTACATTTCATTTTCTAGTAGTTTTTCGATGTAACAAGCAAGTGACCTACACGTAGACGGTGTTCAGAATTGGTTCTCTTGTTTCACGGAGTTCAGTGGGAAAAACCTCAAATGATTACATGCGGAACCGGCTCTTAAAAATGCAAGTCGAAGCAGCAATGGCAGTCTCTGATTATGGAACGAGACATGCATTTCCTGACATGGCATATGCTTTTGTCTTTCTGTAAAACCAAACATTAAAAAGTACAGTGTTTATTCCCAAGAGAGGCTAATGCCCAGAAAAACACAAGACTTTTGACTTTTTGGAAACACCTGATTCAAGGAGGGGGGGGACCGGTAACAATGCATGAAATGGAAAAAGGGTGTGGATTACAAACCAAATTTATCATTATTGTCAGAATCATCAGCATATTTTAACAGACCAAATTGCATACTGTAAAGTGACTGCAAATCACCAGCTTTCCTTTCATCCAAGACAGCGTTACTGGCATAAAAACCTTAGTAATCATTAGAACGCCTTGTTCAATTTAACTTCTGACTCATGATGTGCTCCAACGCAAACCAGTAACTGCCTCGCGCTCCGGAACAGCCAGTGCTATGCGGTATGTTTAACCACCCTTCTATTTCCTGTGTCATGTAAAATGGTTGAAGGACGTACTACGTGCTGGATAAGAACGCTTTACTACCGATGGATTCAACGAGACATGAGATAGTATTTATGACTTGAATGATGATAATAAATAATAATACATGTAGGGCAGCTTTCTTGCAGTGCTTTTCACCTCCTCTGTAGCAATAAACTCCAATATTTGGGGCTTTCATGCTGATGAAAATTTCCATGCTCATGAGCCACCCGGCAGAGTTTGCTTCTCACGTAACCCAACAGCCTATTTTCATAATTGCCGAAATTGATAATCGATGAATTGATGATTGTGTAACCAAAAGGTTCAAAGTACCCTCTAAAAATACTAATGAAACGATACCTTAAAGAATGAAAAAACTACCAACTTCTTGTCACTTCCTTTGGAACGAAGTCTTTAAAACACAAAGTGATCTGCGAAAACAAGCTGAACTGTATGTCCCCTGAAAGTGTCTCTTAAATATATAAGGCATCACTGCATATCGGTGGCATCATACAAAGTCCAGCTAGTGCATCAAAATATGAGACCTGCAGACTCTTAATTGTTTTATTTTAATTAGCATAAGTATATGACGTCACTAATCATTCATTTTCCAGTTACACCCTTGTCTTCATTGAGAATAACAAATTACGTGTTGTTTGCAAACAACTCATACATTCTTTTGCCGTATATGTTTTCAGAATAAAGAGCAGCCGGTTCCTTGTTTAAAACTGAAAAATTACCAACCAAACACAAATCCCCTCTTCTGTTTTGGTCAAGGATTGGGGTACTTACTCTTCAGTTTACATAATAGGCCATGGTCATGAAAGTGAACGGCACCACTGCCCATGATCAGCAGCACGCAAAAGGGAAAAAATACTTGAGCATTTTCAAACACAAAGTAGCATGCCCCCCCGAAAAACCAATTAGCTTCAACTGAGATTAACAAAAGATTATTTTTTACTGATAGAGTGGATCTGAGTATGGGAGTAACTTCAGATTGAGACTGAGATAACAAGACAAGACAGAAAATGACTTGCAAGCATCCATGCATGGAACCACGAAAAATGTTTTACATGCATTCCATTTTCTTGATTTTGATAATTCATGCTTTACTTTCATAAACCATTTGTGTGATATTTAGACAAGATTTGGCACCGTTTCGGCGTAATTAACAATACAAGTGAAAAACAATGGCTGTTTATACCTTTATTTCCCTACCAAGTCTCAGTTTCATCGCCACTCTGGAAATTACATGTAACTGCCACTGCACAAAGACAATCTCATCCTTTACAGCTGTAGCGCACATTAAAAGGTTTCCTGGACATATCAGGTTCCGTTTGTTTTATTGTAAAACACGTGTGAAGAAAAGTATGTTAGCCACTTTATTTTTGCTGACATTTGGATTTCAAATGGATTGTTGCCATTTACATGTATATGTCCAAATAACAAGAAGAAGAAAATGGAACAAACCGAAAGAAACAAATACTCACAAGTAAATAAACCCTGCAGGAAAAAACAGTTTCATTTTATTTGTCGTGTATATCGCATTGGCTAATACACTCTTCTTCATAACGAAACAGAAACTTCACCATGTTTCACATTAAAGCAAACTTAAGTTGATATGTACAGGAACCTTTACCCTACAATTCTGAAACATTTATGAGTTTCTGAAGCATTCTTTTCTAGGCATGTCAAGACGGAATGTAATTCCGTAAGGGATTTTGGTTGTGTATTTTCCTCACATGACGACGGAGAATGCAATGCATCAATTCACAGTCATTGGCAATCAAACTTATTGCGCGTTGATGAGCGGACATCATCAGTTTTCAGAGAAACCAGTAATCATCTCTAGGTCTATTTCACATAACCAAATTTGGTGACATAAAGTAAACTATTCATCATCAACCAGTTTCCTCACTCTCCACTAAACAGACTGCTGCTCAACAATACGACCAAATTTTTTTCCCATCACCCGCGGATCTCGTTGACAAGCTCTCTTATTGGTCAAAGACACTGTGGCGCTGCAAACTTCAACCATGGGTCAGCCGATGTTATAAGAGGAAGTGGGTTGATGAGTTGTGTGTTAGCAGTGAACATCTTGCGTCATTACAGTGACGAAGCATGTTCAAACAAAATAGATAAAAGGGTCTGATTGTTTAGTGGGACATATCAGATGCTACTGGTCGGCCAAACAGAGACCAATTGTAGAACTGTCAATTCGGATCAAAGTTTCAGCAGACTTCGTTGGGTCAGCGTGAAAGATTACAACAATGACAGGAGTTACACTGCTTTTAACAACACTGCTGGCCGGTGCTGTTACCATAGTTTACTCAAGACCCGTCGAGAATGAGCGAGATGCAATGGTATGAAATAAGATCTATTATGTATTAAGATGTTTTGCTTTCACTGAATGATCGCCGGCATGGTTTTGTGCTGCATGCAAACCCCTGTAGATTGAAGTGGGGGGATTCTTAGCTGTAGCACCCCCTTTACTTTTTTAAATTATTTTTTTAACGAAGTTTTCCCTGTTCGAATTACCGGTGTGGTTTTACCACAAATCATTCTCTAACAGTACGTGTGATAGATACTGTTTCCATACAAGCGTATGTGCATGGACATTCGCTGAGTAGGTCTATGCAATAAATGTCCGTTGATTTTTGGATCAATTGACTTTGCAAGCTTGGTAATTTAAAGGTTACCACGGCATTGATCCATCAATGCAGAGATGAACTTCCCCGGTCGGATTATGCTGCGAACTGAGCACACTGAACACCGCGCGCATTTCTTTGCATTGACTTTTTTTCCAACAGCAATGATGGTAATACAGGATTAGTACACCATTCATCACGGAGCCTGTGGAGAATTTTGGACCTGGAACATCTGCTCTCCCATAGTTATGGGTGGCGAACATAGAGCCTACTTCAGCCCGAGACCCAAATAGCTTTAGGGTTATGGCACGCGCGCAGTCGCGCTCGCCATTAGATGGATGGTCATTGCAGTGCAAGAATCGCAAACAGTACTACGGTATCCGCAAGCGGGGCGCTTGAACGCGATGGTTGCCACTTTGCCTTCGACTTCCGAATGTACCCATTGACTGTAGCTCTATAAGCACTTGTTAGACTCCCGGCCCGGTCTGGGACAGGATTTTGTACTTGTAATCTAGTTGATTTGTTTCCTTTCATTACTTTTTTTTGGGAATGTGGTCAAAGGTAAACTTCAGTTCCTCTCTCCTGTGCTGTGATTTTAATTAAGGTACATGTATATGTGCAGTGAAGCAATTACATGTACTGTACATTGATGGTTTTTGCTTGCGCCGTCCGGGGTTGAAGAGCGCGATCCCACCTGGGTAAATATTATTCCAACCACAAAGGTGGCCATGGACTTTAGTTGACTGTCTAATAATTTTGTGCACAATTTTCTTCCTCCTCGGTCATTAAAAAGACACTTGGCCAAGTATGGAAGGAATTAACCGACTGCTTTAAACTACACTGTATAGTCGAAAGATACTATATTCAATTGCTTGTAAAAAAACTTGTTATTGCAGCTTATGTTGAATGAATTATTGCTGAATTGTCCTGTTTTTAATTTAAATTCAAAATTCGCCTTTCAATGTGTGTGCCAATAAATCTAATTCCTTAAGCGCCAAGTAGGAGTGAGGAAGATCTTTTATATTTCATTTTATCAACTGCATTATTTTATTTAACATTGAAGTGAAAAAGACAACAAAAGTGATGGGCCCTACATGCCCCAGTTACCATGAAAGTTTTTTCTTACTTGAGATATTATGCGTCACAGGCAACAAGTGGCTTACGTGAGAAACTTTACACGAATAGTCATAACAAGAGCAGTTCATCTAAAAACAAATAATGTAGTTAATCTGTATCTTCTGTGGGCAAAAGGCAGAGCTGTATACTCGAGTCACTTGACTTGGACTTAAGTCGGACTGGAGTCGCTATTTTTGTTACTTGTGACTTGACTTGCACTTCCCAAAAACAGTGTTGTATTCGAGTCCATGACTACTTGGAGTTTTAAATTAGGTCTATCAACTTAATTACGCCTTGCTTTCTTAAAATTGTTTTTATTATTATACAAATTGGGTCCTGAACCTCGCTTGTTGAGTTGATGCTTACTTATTACAGCTAGATGATACAATGCGTGACCTGACTTGTTACTGGATGAAATGACTTGAAGACCATTCTTTACTGTCCCTCTCCAAGCATGCTTCCGCCGCTCTTTGCTTCTCCCACCGTTTAGTTCTAGTCAGAATGATTCCGCACACGTACTGGTAGTATCCAGAGCTACCCCCGATGTCGAACTTGCACTACCCCCCGATGTCGAACTTGCAGGTGCACTTATTTCAGTGAATTATAGAAACAATTATAAACCAAATTAGAACAGCAGAGGAGAAATCTTGGGACGGCAAATGGATGAGAAGGTGATGTGGTCAATCTTCTTCCTCTTCTCCGGACGATGACATCATGGCTTTTCTCTGAGACGATATACCGTATAAAGTTTTCTGTTTGTCTATAAACTTGTACACTTGTATGTATACTTGTGTATAAGAGTTTGACATCATGCTGACGTCATCAGATATTAAATTTCACTCGATTTAACTTCCAAAATACGACCAACTTCTATCAGCTGTATCGTACAGATGTGGTGTTCATGGGACCTGACCACGTCTGACCTTTGCTTCCGCTGTCAATGAACACTCGTTTCAGGTACAGTTCACCTTTACAATAGTTAAGGATATGAAAGGTTGTGAATAGGATTTGTAAGATTTCAACAAATGGGATTGTCGAATTATCTTGGACATCTTCGTGTAAAGTAAGTACATAATAGTGTCAGACAATCTGTGAAATCTTACTGCCAGGAAAACTGTCAGTTTCGAGAAAGAGAAAGGATATTTTTTTGTTAAAATGATCTTTCGAAAATACAGTTTGTTCAAATACTGCAACTTTTAACGGGCGCAACGGAAATGTGTTTAAAGCATCGGTTGTTGGAAGAATCTATATTTACGGTTAATATACAAACGCCCAAGCGCGTTTGGAACGCCATGACTCATTAACTAATAAAACAGATAGGCTTTCTTCAACCGTAACCAACGGCATAACAGAGAACTTGGACTGGTTTGAAATTAAAATTTCTTCATAAAACTTTGGAAGTTTATATAATAGATATATCATCTTGGTATCACCCTTTCAGGTAATGGTATGGTCCAGACCAAACAGCCCTCAGCTATTAAAAATGCATTTTGAGGGCCATAATTGGTCTCCAGATCTATCTCGGCTGTGCTCTCTCCAGGGACAGTCAGGAACGTACTGTGGCATAGGCGTGTGGATTTTTGCGAGACAAATTACACGAACTGCGCTTTGAGTTTTTAAAAAAAGTTTTTTGCCTCGATTTTTCTCAAGCGTTGAACTCTAAGAATGAAAAAAGTCTGTGGAGTGATACCCAAAATAAATCACAAACCCCAAAATCGGCCAATTTTGACAAATTGCAGTACATGCGTCTATGACGCTGAGCTTTGTACCAAGACTGCTCTACGTCATAAAATGAAAGGGAGTCCTACTGGTCCATTACACACGGTTATTGTTTACCATTTGATTGTGGATTGCCATAGCTTTCTGAAAGCCATTGAATGCAGCTATAAGTGAAAATCATTTCGTAAAATTTCCAAATAATGACCCCATAAACCCAGATAAATGATCAAGTTCCTCTTTACTGACATCGATTAATATACTTCATACATGCTGCCTTGCACAAATGCTTAAGAGCACCGGAATTTGTAACTGAAGCAAACACGTCCCGTCTAGTTCATGTTTAATCTGGACAGCGAAAGCAAGCCGTAAATACCAAACTACGATGGTAAAAGTAGATAAGAAAAGCATTTTAAACTGCGTTTTAAAAAGTTAACCCTATAAACGACTGCAATCTTACAAGGGTCTCATGGCCTGATTTTGAAATGTAGCCTTTGAACAAAACAGCAGTTCTGTGTTATATCGGGCAAACAAAAATCTGGCTATGCGCCTAAACAAGAAGCGGACTTGAAAGACTGAAAACACAATGTTATGTGGTCGGTCAGTGACCCATATTTAGGGGCCACGTGCGTGATGACTCCTCCAGCGAAACTAATTAGCATCTATCCTTCGTTATAAAGATAACACAAGCACCAAGTAATCTACTGAAGAAGCAACGAGGAAATACGGTGACACAGCAATGCAATATTCCAAATGAAGATCTCAGTGAACTGAGCACATTACGTTTGAAATAAAACCATTTTTTTGTATTAATTTTGACAGGTGTACCTAAACACCTTTGGCTACATGAGCCAGCAGCCAAGTAACGGCAGTGTTCCAGATGAGGAGATGAAACAGGCAATCCTTAAATTTCAGTTCATGGCAAACTTGACGCAAACTGGTACGTAAAAGACATGTGTTAAAATTGCACGACACCTGCCATTGTAGCGAATCTGCCTTCTTAAAGTATAAATTAAATATTGCATTGCGATTTCCATCATCTGCTGGAAATAATGAACACCTGCCTGGCAATCCGTCATGAACAATCTGTCAGTGAGCACTGATTCAGTGAAAGCCAAAAGTAACACAAAGTCGTCCACGGCATGGCAATTCTATTATCTTATAGACTTATGCAATATTTGACTGAGTGCAAGAGAGCTGATAAACATTATGATACCTTTAACCTTTACTGCATACATTCAACTGAGAAAAGAGATTTATCAATCTCGACACTGACGTGACAAATTTAAAACAATTAGTATGGACAAGGGTGGGTCTCCCTGCTCCTTTGGGAGGCCTTTCCTTGTTTTTCATGTTAAATTAGAGCCCTGAGAATTCGTGTCTGGATGGCACTCTCCATATTTTCTGTTAATTCGAATTTAGGAGCCCAGCATTTTGCTCGTTCAAAATATCATTCAGACTTCGGCTTACTCGAGTACTGTCCTCAACTGAAACAACATTGCTCGTTGTAGGAAACACAAATAAAACCGCCACCCTTACTTGGGCCAATCTTTTGGATATGGATTGAATTGAAACTTTTTGCTTTGTTCTAGAAAGACAGCACACATTTTAATGAACATGGAAACCACACGCTGTAGTTCTGTTTTAAATGCGATGCAAAAGTGCATTAATGAGGACTGTATATGCCTTTTACTCTGTAAGAGGTCATCGATGCCGACAACGACGTAACAATGAGGTTATGGATATTTCGTTGAAAGTGGTCTAGGTTTGGAATAAAAGCGTAGCGTATGACGCAGTCTGATTCCTCTATCCTAGGTGCAATGAATGCAGAGACCTATGCCAAGATGAACATGCCTCGCTGTGGCATGCCAGATAACATGGGCCATGCTCTGGACCTCAGACGCAAGAAGAGGTTCTCCCTTGGCAGCAGATGGTCAAGGACTGACTTGACCTATCGAATCGACAACACGACTCCTGACATTTCTAATAGAGCAGACGTCGATGCAACTATGGCAGAAGCATTCAAGGTATTTTGAAGTTACGCATCCTTTCCCCGACAACGAAATAAGTACCAAGCAAAATACAAACTGAGGTTACACTTTCACTTTGTGCAATATCGGTCTGACATGGTGCTAATAGTTGAATGAACTTTTTATCACAAAGAAATATTTCTATTTCGAAAGATCTCTTTTAAGACGTTATAAGATTTTAAACGGAACAAAACACGACTCCTGACTTGTGTCCAAATTATGTTGAATCAACCATAGAGAGAGCTTTTGAGTTATATGCATGTATCATCTTTATTCAAATAAAAAAGGGAAAACAAGACAACTGTTACAAAACGAAGGGCATTTTGTCTCTATCAGGTAGACAGTTGGAAAGAGCAGCTATATGAGAACAGTAACAATATAGTGAACAAAAAATAATCTCATTGTTACTGCCAACAGATAAGATGAAATAAGCAAGTGAAGGATACGACTAATAAAAGATCAGTCACGCTGGTAATTCACAGTACAATTTCACTTTTTCTGAAATTTAGTTATATTTAAAACAGTCTATTATGTAAAAAGTAGATAAAGAGTGCTAATAATGTCAAAAGCACGAGTTGAAGTTGCGCTTCATATCAGACAAAATGAAACAAAAGTGGTTAGGAGCATCCAATGAAACCCTGTTTTGATGAAGTAACGCTAGGGCTCTGTAATTATACAACTGTTTTGTTTTTCGGGGCTAACAGGTCCGTATACGTAAAGTGCTGTGCTTTCTTGAACTTAACTGTGAATTAAAAGAGGTCGGACAGTGAGACTGACTTGGAATTGCTTTTACATCAACAATATTGATAAGGCAATTCAAGATGATGTTAACACTGGATTGTATGATCCAGTTGAGTCGTTCCAATTTGAACCGGAGTAAGGTCCCGTTGAAATTCCGGCAGATAGCCGCGGTCATTTGCCGAGATTGACCGGCGAGAAACTTTTGAGGAACAAGAGCAGTATTATGACAGCATTCAATCGCCTTCCACATCGACGATTTTTGTTCTTTTTACTCTGAGCATTATCGCAGTAGAACTGAACTCCCAACATTTTTTGTATAAATGCGAAGAGAAGCTGCCACCTTAGTCGTCATACAGGCAGTGATGACGAGTTCCCTGTTTAATAACTTCTTCACATAAAAGCAATGTGACTGATCTTTAAGAAATAAGCTACAACTAAGCTACTTATAAGTAAACTCAAACAAGTAACAGAGTTAAGGTTTCACCGCTGCTGTAATATCAATTTGACATGGTACAAGTGTACTTTTTATCAAAGACATTTCTAGGTCATGCAAAATCTGTTGAAGAATTTCTCACGAGACGAAGACATTTAGCGTAAAATTTCTCCCAGCTTTCAAGCTTCCTCCATACTTATGTTGAAAAGAGCAGCATACTGAAAGTACCAAACGTCAAAAGAAACAAATGTCGTAACATTTCGAGAGAGATAGCGTTCACAATTATTTTCATTGTTGAACAAATTTTCTTTGCAAGAGTGGGCCTTCAGAAGTTTCTTTAAAAACTACCTTGAAACATCGAACACCCCAGTCAACACCAGGTTGTGAGATCTACTTGTTTCCAGAGCCAGATCCGCAAATTCGCGAGACAAACCTTGATTCTGTGTTCTATCTATTCAGGTCTGGTCAGATGTCACACCGCTAACTTTCACACGAGTTTTCGGCAATACACCCGCCGACATCATCATCGTCTTTGCACCAAGCAATGTGGACCACGGTGACGGTCTGCAGGGGGCCTTTGACGGACCGAATGGGGTTCTTGCACACGCTTTCTTCCCACAGAATGGAGATGCTCATTTTGATGAGGCAGAAACTTGGACTATTGGATCATTTCAAGGTGAGATCGATAGGAATTTTATTTGAATCGTCCCCTCCCCCACACAACATAATATCTAAGAGAAGCACAAACTACAATTCTTTAACAATACAATGTACTGAATGTTTGGCTTAATATTTTCCCGAGAATAGTCTGTGTCCCTATCTCCGTCCAGCCTAATTTATAACACACTCTGAATCCCCCAAGATATCAACAAAATGAAAACAAAATAACTAAGACTCCATTAAATCCCCACATTATCAGAAATTGACAGAAAGTTTTATAATGACTTTTGGAAGGATGTGACCATCATTTTTCTTACTTATCGGTATTGCTATTACTGTTCTTTAATTAAACGTAATTCATAATCAAGCACCGAATTCTCATTTTATCAATTTACAAACGCGTGTCAGCCGTTAATGTCGTTGTTGTTGGTGGTGTTGGTGGTGGTGTTGTTAATCAGGCCTGTCTGTGAGGTGACGATGCTTGTACTCACACAAAGTGTGCAGTAATAAAGTGCGTACAATGGGCAGCCAGGAAAGTGCATTTCTCAAGTATAAGGAGTATTCGGCATTTTCAAATTCTTAATAAAATAGTGTTATGGTGGTAAATTTCTGTAAGGTGTTTTAGGACTTTTTTACTGGACCTACTCTCATAAAATTTTTCTTGTGATTTATAAAGTAACAAGTTTGACTTCAGTGTGTGGACCTAATTAAGTGTGCCCCGCACGTGTGGTGCGGTTGTAAACATAGACTGGTTCCCTGTCATAACAAACTTTGGACATCTCACAGACAAGCTAGATTACCAGTTTAATAGCAAAAAAATTTGAGTACTTGGGTCTGGGAATAACACTGTTAACTCTGTGTAGACAGTAGTGTTTGTAGTGTTCTATACAAATAACACCTGCCCAAAAAGGACGTAAGACATTTTGAAAAGTTGAACCCGATTACGTGTGAATTATTGCAATACGACGTTTTGAGTATTTCAACCAGTCACTCGGGATCCTAAAATACTTTCCACAACCAAGTGTCTCAAACGTCTCATATTGTTTTATAACACACTTCTGTCCGATAAGAAAGAAACTATTCAGGGTTTTATGACTGAAATGTTTTCATGCAGCCCGTAACAGAGAAGCAATTCAACAACTAATTTGACCATTAAAGGAACACTTTAGTTACCTTAGACACTTTTGAAATAGTTCAATGTTCATATTATGTGCGGGTAACCGGTCAAAAACGTTGAATGTTGTTGCACAACCGGGCATACATACACGGCAAAATTAGTCACGGTGGCGTCTAGTATCATGCTGACACAAATACGTCATGCAGTAGCCTATATTATTTAACCCCCACGGGACCATCTTTCAGCCAACCGGGATAAAAACCAGCAAGAGGTGTGCTATGAATATTTAGGGTGGATAGGCGTTATTAACCAGCTGTAGGTATACTGAAATTTGATATAGTTCTTGAAGCAAACTAATATCTAATAACGTGGACCTAAAACCATTTCTGTACGCTTCTTTTTTATATTAAATCAACAAAAATGTCCGTTTGAAATTTGCTTTTCACGATTGTTTTGTTTACAGGAATCAACTTATTCCAGGTGGCAGCTCATGAATTTGGTCACAGCTTGGGACTGGGCCACTCTAATGTCCAGGGAGCTTTAATGGAAGCATTTTATCCGGGTTACATTCCAAACTTCCAGCTTCATCCTGATGACATTGCTGGCATCCAAGCCCATTATGGTCAGTGTTTTTTTATTTGCTATTATATTTGTTAATGACACCCATCACAAGGCGTAAAAGAAAAGGCAGGCCTAAGTGCAATGTGAAAAACCAAAAAGAAGACACGAGGAGATGAAACCAAGATGCCCCAGATTCTTTACAAAAAAATACATCAAACCGCAAGTCGTTCATTACAGATGTGACGATTTCTCTGGCAACTTGCCGTAACTTTTCTTGATGTTTTATTAACGATAAAACGTTTCCTGGACTTTTGTACAGGGCCTGGCTCTGGTAGACCGGAAGTGACCATGGCTCCCAACCCACCTGCCCCGGACATCCCTTGTACAGGCAGAGTAGATGCAGTCACAACAACACAAGACGGTTCCACGTACATTTTTGAAGGTGAGAGCATAAACCACCGTCCACTCAATGCAATATTCTTCATTGAATCAATAGAGCACTTATTATGTTGCATCAAAATTCAATTCCTGCTGAACGAATCGATGTTTTAAAATATGGTGCTTTTACAGTCGCATTCGGAGCATGCTTATTGTTAACACCATTCACCAAACAACGACATACATAAATGTCTTTGTTAAATATTGTGTCGTCAAAGCAACGTCAATTAACGGGGGAAATAGATGTTTATGTGCTTTCTCTCTCATATCTATGACAGGAAGTAACGTTTGGAAATTCCAAAGTGGTGCGTCCCGGATTGAACCCGGATTTCCTAAGACTATCGCCTCAACCTTCGCTGGCCTACCGAATGATATCGATGCGGCGCTTTATATCCCAGACAGCTTGGAAAGGACGTACTTTTTCAAGGTATGGAACAAAACAGGAGGATTGCATGTCCCATTTTGACATCTGTCTCATCACAAAACATTCTTCGAAGAAATCTCTATAATTGGAGGATATCTAGATCAGGTCCAAGAAAACATAACCTCAAGCTATTCCTTTCTGTTTCTTAGCGTACAAACATCAAAACGTACAAGGTTCCCAACGTACTTTTATTTAATCAATTGTCTCTTAGATCCGCCATAAAAATAATGTACTGGAGTTATTTCATAAATCTTGCAAGTTTGCGTGAATGAGCTGCACTATTTCATACTACCCCCGACAAACTTGTTTTTGAAGTAATAACGACCGTTCTCATGCACGCATATTGGTCGACACTCAAACTTGTACATCTAAACACTGGTTTGTTTCAATTATTTCTTTTATCGTTTCTCGGATCAACTTTGGAAATGATGTACTCTGATGAGTTCAGACATTTTGGAACCGACGTGAATGAGCTTGATTCTGCACACACTGCCCTCAGCCGGCCCTCAGTAATGTCGTTCTTGCATCAATAACATTAACCACAGTTTCACGCATGCATGACATGCTTAATTCAAAATCCAAATACTGTTTTAGCGCGATTCAATATTTTTCTGTTTGCAGGGAAGTCAGTACTGGCGATTCAGTAATGAAGTTATGGATGCGAACTATCCAAGACCCATCCGTAGTGACTGGGGCCGCCTACCAAACGATCTTGATGCTGCGTTCGTATGGAATGGGGCCGTATTCTTTGTCAAAGGTGAGTTCAATATCGGCATTAATATTGAGCTTCCGTTAGCTTAAAGCTCATATAAGGCAACTTTGTTCTGCAACTCTTGAAAATGCAGTTATGTGTTTCAGTTGGTCTTATTTTCAAGTCTTCTTTGCTATAATAGCAATAATTGCAAATTTCCAAGTATATGAGCAAAACTATGATGTTCCTGGGAACAAAACCGCAATAGTGCATTGCTTTGAGACAAAACCAGCTGGAATTCTACATTTTGCGGTCTTATTTTTCATTTCCTTTGTAATGTAGTGTTGTAAGAGCACATGGCAATAAATCATACACTACCCCGTTTTCACAAATGTTTCCAATGGGAAAATTTTGGATTCACAAGTGAAACAGAAAAACAAAACAGGTACTGAACGGTGTCTTCCCTGATTAACATAATAGCCACAGCGCCCTCAGTTGTCCAGAAATTTATGAATAAGTTTAGACGTTCATTTACAAAGGGCACTTTTCAATACACCAACCCCTTATACGATGTCAAATAATTTTCATGCATTAAAAATATCAAGTTGCACAAAAAGTGCAGTATAAAAACTTAATGGCACGTTCACTTGAAGATTTGTTGTGCGATGTAAACTTTTCACGGTGAACGTTTGCAAGTGGGATTGTTTTGTTGGGAGATAAGTTGTACTTTTTCGATTCGTACTCCTGCTGAAAACTGCTCCTGAAATCTTGATGATACAGCAGCACCATGTTTATGGCCATTCCTTTGGGATTTCATTGACTTTTCCATTTCTTTTCTTCTCAAAGGCAATCAGTACTACCGCTATAATCAAGGTGTAAGCCAACGGTACCCTCAACCCCTTAGTGTTTGGAACATTCCAGGTAATGACGTCGTTGCTGCAGTTCGGTGGATTAATAGACGTACGTATTTCTTCAACTCTAACGGAGAATACTACAGGTACAGCAATAGCAGGTTGGGGGTCGATCGCGGGTACCCACAAAATGTGGCCCTTGCGTGGCAGGGTTGCGCGAACACTCTCGCGGCGGCCACTCCCACCACTGACAGCGGCGTAAATGGTCTTGTACCCAGTCTCCTTGCATCGCTGTTGCCCATTGCTTTAGGAAGTATGCTTTTCTAAACCATTCCTTCCGGCGGCATTCCAGGGATCAGCGTTGACACCATCTTGTCTTGTCTCCCCAAACTGACCTTCTGTGTTTATTATAATGAAACAATGCTTCCAGCTATTTTGTTATTTGGGAAATGATTTTCCAAACAGATTCAAAACCAAATTGTCTGAAGATAAATGTGTAAAAAATGGATTTTTGATGAGACCTGCAGAGAAGTCATTGACCATTATTTTTATTGGTATTGGTATTTGTTACAATCAGCTGATATATAACAACGTTCCGTGAATTGATTGGCTGCTTGGAGAGGCATGGATGAGTTGATTCTTAGTGTACATCCAGAAAGATAATAATTCTTCATTTTTATAAATCGCAGTCTCAAAGTCACATGTTTCAAAGATATTAAATAGTTTAGTCGATTGTAGTACCTGGTACTTGCATTTGTAAAGACAGTTTAGTTTAACGGCTGATTTAACAATGAAAGATTTTGAAAACAGATGTGTGGTTTTTGTCAGTCCTTTCATTAAATTCTTTATATCCAAGTTGGTGCACACCACGAATGATGAGTTCGGGTGTGACGCTGACTGACATGTTGATTCGCTGGCGCCGATTCCCAGTGATATAGATTAATTGCTAAAGACATTGTATGTGATTTTATATGTGATTTTATTTATAATATGAAAGAGGATCACAGTACTTTAATAGTGTAAACCACATTGAAAATAAAGTATTGAAGAAAGAGTATAGCTAAGTGTCTGACTATTTAATTGATCTTAACGATCACAATTTTTTTAAATTTAATTGATCTTAACGATCACAAACTGCTAAGCTAAGCATTTTGAAGACCCGACATGTAAAATGTGCGATTGTGTGTAACTGATATGTTTTAATAAATTGTTAAAGATGAAGTTTTGATCTCTTAACTCGAGGATATAGCGGAGGTTTTCGAGAAATCACAGAGATATTACATTTCCAATTTCCCCTCTGATCATTACAAATTGAAAACCTGGCTAGCACTTCGGGAGTCTACAGGATCAAACGGAGTGAGGCCGTGGGCGTAAATCCGGGGGAGGGGGGAATATATCGCCCCACACTTTTTAAGGTGGAGTTATGATCTTTTTAATCATCTCCTCATTTTTTGTGGTGAGCAAAAATTAATTAAAAGCGGATTGTGCAGAATTATTAGACTTCCAACGACTAAAATGCATTCAATATCACTCAAAAAAGGGAAAGCAATAAAAGCCATACTGTATATATGCCATTCTGAATGCGTAATTACAGATGTACATCGATATCATGAACATCGACCTCCATATAGAGTCATGTGGGTCCCCCCCCCTCAAATTTTCATCCCCAGGCAAGTCATCCCAACCTTTCTTCATCCCCCCCTCCATTGCCGGCACAAATTTACTGCACTGAGTGAGGCTGACGTTAAATCATATGTATAACATATCATAACATATCATATCATAACAATTTTCGACTTGCTCTTTTTTTCAGAGAGGGGGCCTTAAGCATCGGTGAGCAAATAATGATGTTACTTTCCGTACATATACAAAAAATCATATCCTGTCATGAACACTGGATTGTCGTCATGGCTACAGATACTTCAGTGGTTTGTCCCCGACTTCTCAGAGACGATCGTATGAGAGTGTGTGGTGGAGAGCTTTCCCCAGAGACTTGCTTCCTTTCATGAGTTGAAAGAACTTTAACTTTAGAAACAGCACACGTTTCTTTTTTTTTTATTAAAAATGTTTCAGGACAAAGGAATTTCCACCTTGCATCCGGACGGAAATTATACACTAAAAGCAACTGGCTAACTTCATCTTGGATTGCTTTACATTTGGTCATAATAACCAGTAATTATTACAGTTTTATGGGTCATGACAAATCAGTACCTTGCCAAATCGTTTGGTGAATATTTGTCAAAGCGCGGCTTTGTATTGTGTCCTAATTCGGCAATAAGACGCAGAGGTTTTTCGTTCATTTTCATTTTATACACATGGAATCTACAGATCAACAATATGAAATTAACCACTTTTCCTCGTTACAGAATGTACAAAGATTGGTGTCTGCCTTACCAATCTTATACAAAAATAAAATAGTTCCAAGGATCTGATGTATTAATCTAAATTGGAACCAACGTAGTTTAGTCTCAACTGTACAAGTATATGAAATATTGAAAATTAAAGACCACAAATCAAAATCTATGTTCAGTTTAACATTCCACTTATTTTTCTTGGTACATGTTTAGAAGACACTAAAACATTATAGATCCCTTGTGATCCTTTCTGGTCCTTCAAAAGCACTTCGAAGTTGAATGGCAAAAATGGGAATTAAATAACTGAACTTTCCGACATGAATTCTCTGAAAGACAACTGAAATGCTCTAAACACTCCACCATACTCTAAAAAGTTGGTGTTCATATCAAATACATTCCTAAACTCATTTAGAGAAAGAAAAGCGCCATTCTCAATTTCGCAAGAAATGGACAAATTAGTCATATTAGGCCAAGGCTAGCAGGTTTTTAATATTATTGAAATTTAAATCTGTATTTCTTATTTTATAAATTGTTAGCATGGGTGTTTAAAAAGACACAGTGAACAAAATAAAGGAGAATCCAAAAAAAAAAGACGCAGAGGTAAAAATCGCAATTTTATCAGACTTACGCCTCGAACAAATCAAGTGGATACGCTTTACGAGAATTCCCCCTCACTCTTAATAATAATAACAATGACTAGCATTTAAAACCCTCTTTGTAGCAAACTAAATCACATGCACAGCACATACAATTGTTAATTAGTCGAATAACTACATAAACTTAATCAATGCCCTAATAAAGTTGAAATTTCAAATATGTTATCATCGGTATCATATTGGCGGAACAGGTAGGTTCCACTATTCTGCAGCAGCTCAAACCTGACACACATAATGATAACGTCACAGTAGTGTTTCCACGTTTCACGTTAAAGTATAGCTGCAGTGAATTTTTCTTAGCCGGTATTTTTTTCTCCAAAATTGAGCCCTTCTTCAGTGTATGGAAGTCGTTCACAGTACTATTTGGTTAAATGCATTGCTAAGCGCAATTTTTTTGCCACTTAAAATCATCCAAACTTTCTTGGACAACCCTAGGGCAATGTTGCTGTGATGTTATCTAGGGAAGACATATTTCAGTGCATACGTTTGTCTGTTCAAATTATGAACCCAGAATTTAGTCATTAAAAACATTTCCGAGAAACGGACTGATGTATGGTGTTGTATAGCCGAAAAATGGCTTCACGTTGTGCCGTCGCGTCCCTTGTCATTGTATCCCGTTCGTAAGTGACTTCGTCACAAGTAAAATGAGGACGCACCACGATTCGCAGGCTCCCATTGGACGATCGCAGAAGTTGCGTGTTAACTTCCGGTTCCATGGTTCCATAAACGGCGATCAATGCATGGAACTCTATGTGCAGTGCCAGTGCAGTGGGCGTGGTTTAAACTGAAGTGACGTCACACTTACGAACCGATTAGGCCCTTTGGGGTGAATTCCATGCCCATATGGTTGTATTTCTTCGCAGGAACTCATTAATATTTTGTGATCCCACGGGATTTTTACAATAAGACATGCCATAATCAGGAGGCATCATAGAGATATTTCTATAAATTCCGAATTTGGGACTGATATTTTCCAGTTCGGGGTATTTCTTTCACAAAAAGCACCAAATCGCGGGCCCATTTCGGATAGAGGCGGGCGGCTACATTCAGAAATGAGTGTTTAGTTTTACTGATGTTATGGGGGTATCTTTCGTGGCTAACCCCCATGAAATTGAAACGAAAAGAGATTTTCTGGCCATAATCTTGAATTTCCAGAAAAAACCGGAGGCTGACCTCTTCACGAGAGTCAACAGGCGGCGCTATTTCGGTCCGATGTTGCACTGTTTTCTATGGGCGCGTATATTTTGGTGCAGTGCAACCTGTAAAGACAAGATGGCGGCGCCCGTGGCAACAGACCAAAAGGGGGCGCCCTGTTCTTTTTTAGCGCTTTTTTATTTTTGGGGGAGGAAATGAGCAGTTTTGTCTTTGGAAGTTGTCAAAACTTTTAATCCATACTGTTGCTTGCTCATATGAACACCAATGAATCAGCGACGAAGCCAAAATTATTCCAGCAAAATCTACACAAATGTAGGACTTTTTGTATGGAACGCCTAAAGTGCCATTTTGTAATGTTACTGGATATATGTTGTTTGATGTCTGTTATGCAATGTTGTCAATTTGTCATGTGATGTTCTCAATCTACTATGTAAAGTTCTGTATTCGTTATATGACGTTGTCAATAATAATTTGATGTTGTCAGTATATTATGCGAAGTTCTCAATTCATTTTGAAATAACTTTTTATGTGATTGTCAATCCATTATGCAATTTTTTTCAATCTGTTGTGTGAAATTTTCAGTTCATGATGTGATGTTGTCAATCTATTATGTGACGTTTACATTCGATTATGTTACGGTGACAATCCATTGTGTGATGTTGTCAGTTTATTATGTGATTTTTTTCAATCTGTTATTCAGTGGCGTACACAGCTTTTAGGTGGGGGAAATTCAAAGGCGAATGCTGTTTTGGGCTTTTTTTAAAAAATGCAACATGATGTAGGGGGAGTAAATATCAATTCACGGTCCCGACATCCTTGTTTTCAATTCATGTTGTTGTTTACTTGCGTTTGGTGCTAATACTTGATAATTAAATATACCGATTCCTTTCTTTCTCATGAAGTAATCTAATTAAAGAAAAAGAAAAAGAGAAAATCTGTGGGGAGGGGCAAGTAGCCCCTCAGCTGGATACGCCACTGCTTGTATGTGAAGTTTTCTATCCATGATGTCATGTTGTCAAACATTATGCGATGTTCTTGTCTCATTATACGTCCTGTAGTCTAAACATTATCTCGCGTTGGGCCTGCAATACGTGGTGAGCTATACCTTTCCTTAGCCCGTGTCGATTTATATGAAGCAGTGAATCTATTATGTGGTGTTGTCGAATTACGTGGTGTGGTCAAAGCATGACGCATCTCCACATCTGGAGCTATTCCTGCTGTATGGGCCTTGGTAGTTATCAGTGGGTAGGCCTATGGCCGAACCGTGGCCGTGCAGCGCAATTTCAGGAAGGGGCCCATTTTGAAGAATTTGGGATTGGCACATCTGTTGCCAAAAGTCATCAAGGAAAACTTAAGTAAACTAAACATTTTTCCGCCGTGATAAGTTCAATATTAATACACAGTACTTTAGATGCATGCAAAGTTTTTGGGGAGCATGTGGTATCTGAATCTGTATAGGCCTATGTATAGCTGCGCCATGACGAAATTTCAGAGAAGGGGTGCTCGATTCATGGGGGTGACTGCACACATATTTTAAATGATTTTAAAGTCATTTTCATCGCAATTGTATTCTATGACCAAATCCTCAATACATCATCTCTGATCAAATGTTGCATGTGTAATGTGCCAAATTTATTCTTGTTTCTTCCAGATATGTTTTTATTGGGATACAGTAATAATTAACTGTTTCAAAATCTACTATGTATCACGTTTTTGAAAGTTTGTTATTAAAGTGTTAATAAATGTCAACAGCATTTACATTCGATCGATACGCGTCTGACTACTGAGATGTTTGAAAGCAGGGCTTTATAAATCATGTTTTAATATCCCTACAATGGCTGCTGAATCTGCCAAATAAGTTAATAATACATTTTAGATTTAGTACTATTCTTAACTGAGAAAAAAAGGGAGCGTACTGAACTTTTACTATTACTCCTTAAATCTCGATGGAAGAAAGAAAATTGAAATTGGCACATTATAAATGCAACAGTTGATCCCTGGAAAACATATACCATATTAAAAAAAATTGGTCAGAGAATAAAATTTCAAAACGGATCTTTGGAATAATCGACGTGATGTGGGTATACAGATTTATAAGATATTTCAAGTTCCTAACAAGCATGAACACAAGAGACATGCACTAGCACTATGAACGCATTTGAAAGTAATTACTGTAGTAATATTGAATTTATCAAGGTAACAAAGTGTTTGGTTTGTTTACGTTTTTCCTGTAAATTCTGCGAACAGATGTGCCAACCCCAAATTCCTCAAAATGGGATCCATGATCCTGAGTGCGATGCACAGCCATGTTTCGGCGGTGCACGTATCGCATTTCCAGGTGCATTTTTTTGAGGTGCATTTTGAAGAAACAGTGTGTACTAGGCCTAACCGTCAAAGAGCCGGGTTATTTTGGCCCGTCTGATAGCCAGGGGGTTGATTCCGCCCCCTAAGAAATCACTCAATCGATTTTTCACAGATATTATGTTGAGTCAACGTTGGTAATGTCGTATTTCATAAATTTACTTTAGCAGCTATACTGTATAATTCATACATGGCAACTGAATTTCTAAGATTAACTTGGTAGCTAATTAAGAATTGACAAAATACAACGTTAAAAATTCTGGCAAAAGATTTCCTATACATGTATTCATCTGTCAAAATGTTTAATCTAGAGTGATCAACTGAAACTATGGACTAATAAAATCAAACTTATAATTTCTAAAACTAGGATGACGTCATAAAAACAAAGTATAAGTACATTATTTATAATATAAATTACGTTTCAGCATGCAAACTTAATTTCTTCCCAACAAGTTTATAAACAACGCTCAAGAAGTCAAGAAATCTGCTCGGTATTTTCCTTTGTAAAATTACGGTATATCAAGCACATGCTGCCTCAAAACATAAAAATTGGCTACCAGACTTAATCAGTCTCCTTGCAAGAAACGCTCCACAAAAGTTTACAAAAAATACCATGAAATTAATTTTAAACAATAGAACGGGAAATTGAAAGACGAAGTCAATTAACATATTCACATCAGCTGCGACATTTTTACTCGAGAGCTTATGGAGAAAAAATCAGAAAGTGATCAAGCGAGACTCGAAACTAGAAATTCCTGTTTATGGAGACCAACATCCAAGTTTCGGTTTCCTTACGAAAAAAGAAAAACTACAAAAGAAAAAGACTGGTATACACAATTCTTAATGTGCACGGCATGAAAGCGACGCAGTTTTACAAAACAGATTTTTAGAAAGTGAACCTAACCATTATTTACGTGTAAAATTAACTTTGAGCACATGTACACGTGTTTGCTCACGTGGCACTGTTTAGTGACATGGTCCAAATCTGAGATCTGACAAACTCGTTGACACTTCATGAATTGTTTTCATTATGAAATAAGACACCTGCCAAGTATAAACCTGGTAACTTCACGAGGATATTCGTTGCGATAAACAAAGCGCTTCGTTGCGTCATCAAACAGGTAATACACGTTCCCTGTAAATATGTACACATTTGTTACTTCCCCGTCGTCGTTTAAGTTGGGGCTGATGGCCGTAATACGAAAGTTGCGATACGGCAGACCATGCCAATTTAGGCTCCATATTCTACGGCGAGATCTGAAGGAACTCCCACGAAAACGGTAGACAAAGAGACCTGTGAATGAAAAGGGACCCGGTAACTTTATGTTGGTCATTGTCTGATCGGAATCTCAGTAATTCTTTACAGACTTCTGGGGGGATGTGTTAGGTAACAATAGTCTAGAGTGTGTATAGGGATTGGACAGGTAAGGGGGTACCCCTTCGTCCCATATCTTACCTGGTATAAACATTTGAAGCGAGATATGGGCCGGAGAGAACGCCCCCGCCTATGTGTTGGTCATTGTTAGATCGGAATCTCAGGAATTCTTTACAGACTTCTAGGGGGGGGGTGTTAGGTAACAATAGTCTAGAGTGTATGTAGAGATTGGACAGGTAGGGGGAGGTACCCCTCCTTCCCATATCTTGCCTGGTATATTCGGTAAAGGTAGACACATCAATGGCTGGTTTTGACAAAATCTGGTTTTCGTTTACACGAGGAAATGTGGAGTGGGAATACATGTTCATGCACAGATTTAATGTACACGTAAAAGGATGGGCGACACTGATGAACAAATTTTCTTTTTACAATTGTCCAATTTCCAATTTCGTTTTTTATCTGTAGCAGAAGATTTCCTTCTCTCCCAAAGGAAAGTTCCAGTACCATTACCAAAGTGTTATTTAATTCCTTTCAGAGAAATGAAACAAATGGCATCATGTTCTTGGCGCACTTTTCCCCCACCCCTGCTTGATGCACACGACACTGAAAAATTTCTCTCTTTTGCCTTACAATTGACAACAATATTTCCAAAACAGAAGTTGTGTTTTGCGCGTGGAAAGTGTGAAACAATTAATGCTCGCACAGTCAGTCAGGCGATACAATTTAATTCTATCTGAATTAAGAGGATGTTATCACCGGCAGCGTTTCTGGTACATGATAAACTGACAAAAAAGATGGTTGATTGTACACAAGTACATGCTTCTTACCTTTAAAGAAGTAGGTGTCACTGGATGACACGTAACCGGCTTGCACATTGCAGGGAAGACCAGGCCACTGTTCACGGATACGTCTCCGTCCACGATACTGCAGATTCTCGTATCTCCACACATAACATCCCTAAGGAAGGCAAAACCAAATCACAAACAATTACATGTACTGGGAATTTCTGTCTATTACTGGTGACATGTTTGTCATATTATGTCAGATAGAATTGAGAGTGCCCAGTCAAAATTGAAGATGGTTACTCCAAACCTAAAATGAACGCACATTCATCCGTTCCGAATTCAAATCACAATGATGAAAAAAGATTGGCAAGGGAAACAAATGTAAGTCATTTTCCCTCACAAGACTAAACCCCTACTTTGACACCCCTAGCGTAACTCACCTTGAGAATGTATGTGATGTCACCTTGTTTGACAGCCGACTGCACGTGGTTTGGAAGACTTTGCCATGCTTCGCTTATTTGTGTGAACGTTCGCGGAAAGACATCCAAGCGCCACACGTATGCACCTGCAAGCCCGCCCCCCCCCAAAAAAACCAAAACAAAACAAGTCAAAACTGCATGTTTGAGAACAGATTCCACATGCAAAAGCCAATCCAGTATAAAGAGTTCGAGATACCAAGGGCTAAAATACACCGCATGCCCATCTGGAAAGGCTTCATTAAGACCGTACATTGGTTGCACTTTCGTTCAGTCACAGCTGATCAATATGTGCTTAGAGGGAAGACAATCAACATTAAAGTTACAGCGATTGATTTCTAGGTATGTAATAGCCACCTGTAATCCCCATGTGCATATAGGATTGTCAGCTAATTGTAAACGAAATTGTGCTTGTAATGTCAAACGTATAGATTGATTTTTTTTATTTGGAGCCTCTAAAAGTGCGGCTTTTGCCTAAATAAACTTGAAGTGTGTATGAAGTGCGTTGAAGCCAGTAGTCCATGCAGGCGCAGTTCTGGACCCTTTGCAGGGGGGGGGCTACACAAAGGTTTGCCCCTGGCGCGCCCCCTCCCCCCGTAGAACAATGCTTGAGTCTGGCCAGAGGCCAGCACATTTTTTTTCCTGCTCAGGGTAGTCCCTGACGTTGAAGGTGACCAAACCAGATTCTTCAGCACGAACAGTGGTAGGATTAGATGGCAAATGACTGCATTTGGCCGTGAAAAAATGTAATAAAAAATTAGCAAAAACAGCGTCCAAAATTGACGCCATTCACTCGCTCTTCCGTCGCCTGTCGCGTAGCACTGTCGTACGTCGCATCATATGTCGTGTTATGCGTCGCGTATTGCGTCGCCCGAAACACAACGCAACACACGGCACGACGCACGACGGGACGCGTCATCTGCTGTCGCCCTTTGCCTCTATGGTGTTTATAGAGGGCGCCTTTACTGTTTTCTTTCAGTTCCGTCCTCCGTGTTTTCATAGTACATGCTAGTACATAGTACATGTACATGCTGTAGGTAGCGGGCTTTGATTCTTTTGTTCTTTTTTCATGCATTGCTTCTAACTGTGTTTTGATTAACACTTATTTGTTGAAGAAATTTTTTTTAAATCAAATCTAATTTTTTAAAGTCAAATCTAATTAGAAAGTGCGTTGCGTCAACTACCAGCATTGTCACTAGGTAATAAATAACATGAACGTCACCCACAAAAATATTTCAGCTTTACCTGCATGTTCTAGTTATGATCCTTCCAATCATTATTCGTAAATCCACTCTAAGATAAAATACATGAATCATTATTACATGGTTGCTAATTATGTGTGAGCAGTTCCACCACACATGGGTTTTCTGTTTACTTTTTTCCTTTTTTTCAATAAAATAGGACAGAAACTAATTCAAAGTTAAAAATGGGTGAAATAAAAACAAGAAAAATCAACGCCTGCGGCTCAGGACATATTTTGCAACGGAAATGAAAGAAAACAGTAAAGGCGCCCTCTACACCATAAAGGCAATTAAGGGCGGCAGCGCAGGACGCGTCGCGCCTCACATCGTGCTTCAGAGGACGTAACACGCGACACGACACACGGCACGACATACGACGGTGCGACGCTACGGGCGACGGAAGGAGCTACACTTAGGTAGAAAATATGCAGGATGGAAAGGACGTACGACAGTACGACGAGACGGGCGACATCACGATGTGACGCACGACGCAGCGCCTCGTGTGTGTACTAACATAATGGCAAGAAGGCGACGGGGAGCCGTTGTGTCGTTGCGTCGTGTAGTTGTGACGAATTGGAAGAAACAGAAATGTGTGTAGTAACACCATATGTCATGCCACAGTACGTTTTTGTATAGGCCCGCTACAACAGCGACTCAACGCAGACATACAGTCGCCAAGGTTGAAACAAGTTCAATTTTGGCAGACTGTTGCTGTCTATGTTTGTGTCAGTCGCGATGAAGTGTTTCCATAAATATGATTGCGCATCGTCCAAACCTGATCGGCGATGGTCTCAAACCTGATCGGCGATGGTCTCAAACCTTATCGGCGATGGTCTCAAACCTTACCGGCGATGGTCTCAAACCTTATCGGCGATGGTCTCAAACCTTATCGGCGATGGTCTCAAACCTTACCGGCGATGGTCTCAAACCTTATCGGCGATGGTCTCAAACCTGATCGGCGATGGTCTCAAACCTTATCGGCGATGCTCTCTGCTCTTCTTTATGTCGACATTGAAACAAAGCTTTATTTAACGGAAAAAGCAAGAACCGTGCAACTCTAGTAATGGCAGTCGTGCTATGTACATTTTTGTTGTCTAATCTACTCATCTGCTCTTACCGATAAATCCAAAGCTGTGGCCATCTTTGGTGTTAACCACGGCGTCGAAAGTGCCATTTCTCAGGCAGGCTTCTGCTGGGGGAGGCGGTGCTTGGGTAGGTGTTCCTGGTGTTGTTGGTGGGGGTGGGGTAGGAGTGCTCGCTGTTGTAATTTCAACGTCTGGAAAATAGAACCGGGTAATTAAATAGCATGTTTGGATTGGAAAATAATCTCATGCTTGATGTTTTGGTCTAGTTCATGTTGATTTAACAGCACAATAATTACAAATAGGCCTATAGCGTACATATATAACATGTCACTACTTTTAAACAGTGTAGAGAATAACAGGTTTCACTGACACCGGCACAATACTCGAAGAAAGCCCTATATCAAAAGCACAGATGAATTTGGTTACGGTTAGTTTCAATCATTCAACTTCTCTATCCAAACATCCCGGGGTATTGCCTTAAATAAATGCTATGCAGTACAGTGCTTATTATTGTGTCAATATTATTTTTCTGTCTTAGCAATAGTTATTTTCAGTTGGATCATACTTTTCCTGCAGAAAAGCTCCCTTTTTACTGATTTGCTGCTTATGGGATGTTTTAGGAGGAAAGTATAAGTTCACAACTTCCACAGGCGAACCTTGCACAAGAAACGGAGACTAGTCTCTTCTAAAGACTGCAACAAATCGTTATCCCATAGAAAAGTACATAGTGTACTACATAGTGAACTATTGCCTCAGCTTCATTTCGGTTTCCCATACGATCGCCCCTTTTGTGTGTTGTACGGCAGGCAGACATTTAACATGCATAAAATGACTGCAGTTGTACTTACCATCGTTATTCCCACTATCAGGTTCCTCATCTGTGCCGTCATAGTCTGGTACCCTTTCTCCTGTAAGGTGAAATTAGGACAGACTTGGAATAAAATATGGTAATCGAAACGTAAACACTTGTTGAGTGGTCAACGTTATTCTCCCCTCTTGAACAGTCTATCGTCGGCCCGTGCTCCCTCTCTATAGCTCAAAGCCTCTGCACGAGTTCCCTCCAATTTTCAGTCAAGAGCAGGACAAAAATAAAACTCGGAAAAGGGTGTCGATAGTACTGACTTAAATTTACTTACTGCCATATAGACTCCGTATTCCCTCCTTGTCATCTTCACTTAAGCGGAAATTTGGCTGGTACCCTCGGTAATAGGGATACATGAGTGCTGTAATGTCTTGAGAATGGAGTAAACCCAAGCTGTGGCCGAACTCATGCGCAGCTACTTGAAACAGATTAGTCCCTGAAACGATGGAAAATTGAAAAAAAAATCCAAGGAGGTAAAGTATCTAATTCCTGCTGTAATTTTGTAATATGCCTGAGGGGAAAAACTACTTAATCGACCGACTTCCCTGCAGGAAAGGATATTAATTTTCGGCTACTGCGAACGTGCGATGGAAAAGAAAATGTTCGACAAAATCTTATTCGTTAAGTCCATGGTTATAATTGGATAGTTTTAAACTGGCAAAAGAGATCAGAACACCTGATGTGAAAAAGGGAGCTAAATATGAAGTTAACGCTGATGAGCGTACACAGAGAGAATGAAGATTGATGAAACTTTAATTAATTAATTAAATGTGTGGTATGCACTAATCATCACACAAAGCCGCGGCTGTCGACGTCTCCCGGTGTGAAGGGGTTACCCCTTCCGCGGCTGTCGACGTCTCCCCATTGTGACCTGGAGACATCGACAGCCGCGGCTCTGTGTGAGGATTAGTTCATACCACACATACATTCCATTCACCAGGCACCTGAGGTTTCAATATTGGCTTGCTGCTGGACAAAGCTTTGCGTACTGGGCATACCGCAGCCCAGCAGTCGTGGTCAAAAGAATTCCGGCGTAAAGGGGTTTTAAAATTGAGGAAACGCTAAACTGAATATCTTTTGATTTAAAATAACTATAGAATCGACAGACAAAGCACAGTATTACCTGCAAATGTCCCCACTGTCCATCTTTCTTCGGCGTCAAAATGAGCGTCTCCACTTAAAGGTAGATACGCGTGTGCAAGGACACCACCTCGCCCATCAAATGGTACCCCATCACCATGCTCCCGAGCACCGAAGAGGATTTGAATGTCAGCGTCTTGAACAAAAACCTCGGAGAAAGACAGCGGGGTGACATCAGCCCAAACCTGCCAAAAGAAGAACGATCATAGAACGCATCAAAGTGTATTAATGTCTGTGATTAGCAACCAAAGTGCTTCAAAGTTGGTTATGGTCGCCCGAGGTAACATGTCAACATATACTCTTAGTTAGAAATCGTTTCTCAATATCAACCTCGCAAATTATAATTATTAAATCAAGTACCACCAACCTGAAAAGCATCTCGTATGACTGCTTTGACAACTTGCTGATCCATAGAGGGCGGGAACTGCTCAATCCAATAAGTCAGATGATTCTTGCCGAATTTGACATTAGCTGTTTGATACGTCTCAGGCATGATGTCGGCCAAGCCACATCGACGGGATCCAATAGTTGAAAGAAGAAGACCATCAACCTCGCCTAGAGACATGAATCATTGTAACAGACACCAACTAAATAATGACCTCAATTACCCAATAACACAAGAGAAAGGCTGGCTGAGTCCTGCATCGAAAATGTATTCTTTAAATGGATTTGGAATAACGTTGTTCAACAGGACAGAAACACTATCGGTCGAATTCCAAAATTATTAATACTTGCAGCTGGTCTACAGGTATATGTACTTGGTTGTGTGTGGGTAGGGTTTGGTTTGGGGGGAGGGTTCAGTGGCGTACTGGGGCAAGGGGCATTGTGGTCTTGCCCCAACTCTGGTTTTACTGTTTTGGCCTGTGCACTGTGCAAGCAACATGCGCTGGCGAGCACAGTTAATAGAACTACCACTAGAGGGCGCTATATTCACAAGAGACAACCCACAGACATATAAAATGGGTGAGGCTATAAGCCAGGAAGTCTGCGCATGATGTCCCCACCTGCCTGGCTCCAATCTAGTGCCCATGTACTAATACCCAACTGCAACTCATCGTGGTTTTTACAGACACTTACGAGGTTCTTGGGTCTCAGACTAACTCGGCACCGTTTTTCCTTCAATTGAAAAAAAATACTTGGCGAAGAAAAACAGTAAGGGAAAAAGCAGTTTCAAAGGGAATCGAACTCAGGACAATAAAATCTATGGTCCAATTCGTTATCTACTAGACTATTGTGGCAGCTTGTAGACAAGAGTTCTTTCACGTGCTTTAAGCTAGTGAAAAGACGTTTTTTCGTCATGCCCGTGCCGCATGCGAGAATTTTACAAAGTGACGTCATTCACGGAGTGCCTGGCTTATAGCTTCACCCCATATAAAATGTATTTATCCTGAACGTCTGTGAGACGACTTGCGTCTCTTGTGAATACAGCACCCTCTACTGGTAGTTCTATTCAGCTGTGCTCGTCAGCGCATGTCGCCTACACAGTGCACGGGCCAAAACAGTAAAACCAGTCTTGGGGCAAGACTAGGGGCAATGTGGAATGTTGCCCAGTTGTTTTTATCGCAATGCTAACATTTCAAAGGTACATGTACCACCCTTTCTTTTGGGAGGCAGCTTGATTCTTTTACTACCATCGTTTTAAGAAAAAAATGGATATTTTTACTTCGCAGGTGCTGCGGAGCGATATTGAGCCCTGGAAACAGAATGATATTAAAACATTTCAAAAACACAAATATATAATTTACGAAGTCTTCCTATACATGTACAACGACGTATGTTATTGGGTTAAATGCCAACATGAAAATGTAACTTGAGAAGATTAGGTCTTGGTGAATGACTGTAAAATGACATACCAGTAGGTTGGAGTCCTGACAGTGTCTGTAAGTCTATGATGGCCTGGGTCATATTCCTGCTTGGATCTGTGATGTTGTCACTCTCCATAAGGTAACCGTTTCTTTCCAGATAGTTCTATGGTTAGAGGGATATACGACGATCACAGTTAGGAACTACTTAACAAAATAATGTGCATTAAATAGGCACTGTGCCCACAGCCTATGAAATAGTCAGGGCCCACGAAAATACAGATGTGAGCAATGCATAACACACACAATCCTGTAATATACACTTCTACGTTGCCTCCATATAGTGAGGACATTTGTCTGTTTTTGTGTTAAAACAACTCATTGAAAATAACTGTGCTCATTTTTCTTGTTTTGTGAACAGTCATTAGAACCTGCTGTTTGTTGATTGTAATTTTTTTGAATGTTCTTCGTTTTGCTCCAGAAAACTCTAATGCCATGTCTTCCAGAAAGCGGGTAATTTTGTGTGGCAAAACAAATAATAACAATAATAATTGTAATTGACGTTTCGGAGTTGAGGCTCTTTACTTTAATATTGGATTGCAAACTTAGATGAATTTTAGTTAGGGTCAGGCAATTTTTTTTCTCGAAAGTCCCGTTTCTCCCCTGCAATTAACTTATCCAGGGTATAGGAGGAAAATAACATTGACATTAGTCCATTTTTGTATACACTAGAAAACCACCACTGAAAATAGAATAATGACATTTTTTCGTCTTATATTTTTTCATTGCATAATTCGAAGTCAGTTGGTTCGTAATCCAACTGAATGTAGTAAAAGAAAATTCGCCTAACTCGACACAGAAGAATGCATGGTCACCATGTACAGGAAATGCTTGTATATTTAAATCAGCCAGAATTGGGGGCACCTTCTCAACTTCGACACTGTGTGCCCCTTGTACTGTTATCAAGTTTGAAAACCATCCTTGGGAGATTAATTTATTAATAATTTATTAAGAATTTCTCTAAATGTGCCGCCATAAGGTTGTATTGCAGTTTAGTTTACAAGGCTTAACTGCAATAATAAGGAGAACCATACTGCAAATTAAATTGAAATATATTCAATGAAGAAAAACAAAAACAGAAAATACGGCATTTAAAGAGCAAATGAGAGTATATTAACAACACAAAATACAAATTACATTAAACTTACCACTAAGTAAATTTGCATAAAAGGAATCGAACTGTATTATATCTGTCATTGCGGAATTTCGGAATGAAAACCGGATAAAGTTACTGGGATTATTAGATCTTGAATATGATTCTCCAGAATAAGATTAAAGGATCTATTGACCAAATTTATGGGTCGGTGGTCCATGAGCCTGTCTTTGAGTATATAGATTTTAACCACTTACACATAGACTGAAAAGAAATCCAAGTGCCGAGATCTATGGCTAGAATTGTTCTGAGGGCTCGCTTTTGCAATAACATTTGTTCAGTAAATTCATATTGGGCACCAATTCAGCCTAGGTACCAGGCAGGACTCGCGTTCTCCACAAACTGTCTTAAATAATGTGGAATTGAATATGGATAACAATTACCTGAAGTTCGGTCATTTGCTGGGCGAAGGGGTTGGCATCCTCATCGTTTTGAGTCGCAGCGGCTTGAATCCAGAAACAAAATACCACTAAGGTTACTTGTAACTGTCGGACGCCTGGCATTTTTGCAACTAATTTTTGCAACAATCAATTGCTAAAGTATGCATTTACGTTGCAAAAATTCTCAGGCTTTCGATTTTCAAACTTGGTTGTAAATTACAAGTACATGTCCTGTCCTTTGTACTGTACTGTACACAAGCTTGGCTGTTGGGCCTGCTCACGCGTACATGTGCAGCTCCTCGTCCTACATGTATTTTCCAAGTGACGCTTAAAACAAGAGACAGGATTTTGACGCTACGCATCAAAATGTTTCCTTTTTATACAAACAACATGTTTATCTATTTTGGTGATCATCACCTTGGTGATACTAAATAGTGTATGTTCACACGGCGTGGTTTTAGTTGGGACAATGTCCGGCGACTCGCGTTTATCAGAAAACCCTCTTGTTTGAAGGGGCGTAAGCAAGACAACCCCTGTCATTTCCAAGACAGTAGGCTATTGTGTTTTGCCGTTGTGTGAATTACGAATGGCTGGATTGCACCTTGCATCCGGAGTTTGGTTTTGCTTGACTGACCGTCGGATTATGGGAGCAGGGAAGAAAGCGCAGCCCAGTTGTCTATCAACCCTCTTTTACAAAAGAGAGACTTCAATGATGCAGGTGTTGGGTGTGGCTACCAAGATGAACGTGTTACGTAGCTTATGAAATACAAATTCACTTGGAGAGAGGACAGAAAATGGCCGATTGACCTATTTTTCTATCCCATGTTACCAATGCCCAAAGACATGTTGCTATGATGAAAAACTTAAATCAAATTATGCGCCCTTAGAAAATAAATAAAGCTGTATGTGTGCTGCTTTGGCTAAACTGTCATAACACCAAAATTATCGGATCGTTCAAATCGCTTAAAAGTATTCGATCAATTGTAATTCACCATTTCTCTCAAACTACTTCGCTTCTGTATTAGGTCAGACGGTGTTGTTTTATTTATTATTTACTATTTATTGTTGCTTGGAAGGTACTAAATTAACGACAATTCTACATTAGGTGGGATACAATACATGTACATGTATGCCGAATAAAAACTCACTAGGTTCCTCCTTTCAGACGGTATAATGAATAATAAGGAAGGTTTTATTCCCCATGTATTTCAATGTGGGGTCGGGAAAAAGAGAAACCTCCTTTTGACAGCGTTAATTTGCCACTGATACTGGGGCAACTCTTTACATGTACCACTTCACCTCGAAACGGAAAAAGGAATTCACCATCCGTGGGATGTCGCTCTTTTATATCACGCACATGTTTCACTTTTTCAGAATTTATATAACAAAAGCGTGCCACGTCTGTGTTGCAACTGTTGCCATCATTATGGGGTAATTCTTTGAGAACATTCAGTTTGTGCACAGAACACTTCAGTTGAAATTCGACAGCCCATTTAAAATTTTTGAACAGTTCTATTTCACCACTTACGGAAAACGGCCATTAGAACTATAGTCTACAGTCTACGGTGATCTTTCACTGCAATTAAAAGATTAACTTGTCAGTGCAGTAACGATTCAGACAGCAACAAGGCTCAAGAAAAATACAGTTGTTTTCGTAAGCACTACGTAAGCGACGCTATTTTGACCCATCAGACGGAGACATTCGGCACTTGATCTTTCACTACTGCAACACTGGGCAACGGATTAGTAAAGATTGATAGTCCTAAATCCCCACGAAAGTAGAAGAATATCAATCAAAAGTGCATGCAGCCAAGGAACTATCTGGGGGGGGTGTGAATAGTTTCAAATGTACTTAGCTGACCCAACAAAATTTGTAAAGGAATGGAAAGATCGAGGATAACACAATAATGTTGTTGGAGAAACTCTAGTACACAGCTTGTTTTTTGTATCAAGTCGTCAACTTTTTAAATTTCACGTTTTTTTTCAATGGAGATCGAATTAGTGCACTGAGCCTTAATACTGGGAATTAATTTCATTTTCATCTAAAGTTTGTACTTTATTGATACCGCGCCCCCAGCACAAGTTCGCCATAAATACCTGGGATCGACTTGACGCGTTGCACACAACGCCAAAGCTGCAAAGAAATATAGAACTGGATATACTCGGCGAGTCATTTTCATTGTGGTGATCTGAATTTAGCGGTATACAGCTACTACACTGAGAACTTTCTCGCAAAACGTATACCTGCGCCTCAATTAGATACATGTACAGTCAAACCTCATTAAATATGAGTTTCGAATTTTTACCTTGTAGATTACCTTCTGAAGGGTTGAAAACAACAAACAAAGAACTGTGCCCTAAAAATTCCCTTGTTATAGGCAGAGTGCTATAATTATTGATGAAGGACTTGCGCAAGTCTTAATTTGCGTTGTACAGCGCCCTTTTGTGGTATTACACTGCATTTTCTTCGAATAGCTTTCGATGAAAGGCGATCGACCTGCGGCGTTTAAGAAATAACATCGACCTTGTAAAAGGACATTTTTAAATTCCACTTTTTTCACTAGGCCTATACAGTGCTTTCAAACGCCGTACTTTATCCATTTTGGCATGCTTTCGCAAGCAAACGTAAGCAATCTGAATTTTGCGTACGCACTGACGAACTTACGCGAGCATGCCTGCCTCAAGAAGGCCCAGGGCACTTGAAAATTTTAGCAAAGCCTTTTTGTCGTGGCCATTTTCACTTTGGGCCTGCATATAACCCTGACGATTGAAGGCGCAAGATGACTCAAACAGAGACTTCGTGCGATGTACATGACTGTCACAGATGAAGTATGAAATATTTAGTGGTATGGTTGGAGCGACACAAGCCAGACATGAATAACAGATTGACTAGACAGGATGTTCAAAACAAAATTGAAAACTAGTTTTCAGTCTATGTAACTTTAAATTAACAGAAATATCCAGAGTGTAACACAACGATCTTAAAAGTAAACGAACATAGCAAATAAATTAAGAAACGAAAAGAATGAGCAAAACAACTGAAACGTAAAACTCAATGAACAAAATTTAATAACCCTTAATTAATACAAAACCCAAACAATAAACTAAAACATATGTATAGATGGATTGCCTTCCTGAAATCTGAGCTGAGCCCAAGCCTGAAAACCCTGCATGTTAGAAATCAAAAGGACGAAAAACACGCAATTCAGAAAAATGCAAATTTTGGTTGCATCAACTCAATTTAACATAGGGAAAGCATTCAAACTAAAACTCTGCATAACAAAGACATGCAAGTAACTGAACAAAGGGTTAACTCACAGGAAGCTTGAGAGGGACGGGCATATTTTCATGATATTAATGCAGGTGCATATAAAATTTTACCTTTCAAAGAATAATAATATGAAGCTTTCTTTACTAAGGTTGTTGCAAGTGTAGGAGTTTTAACATAAGAGAAACTTCTCTGGCCATTATATCGAAAATGTTTTCTTTTTCCTTTAAAATCAATATGGCCGCCCCTTCATGAAAGCGGTGAGGTCCGTGCACAGGTAAGCAACCCATGTAAACCTGCACCGGCAATGTTCGTGTACACTGTAGAGTAACCTCGATCTTTATAATTAGAGCAGTGTTAATAAATTCATAACGTTAATATTAATAATGCCTTTCATTTGGTTTTGCATGCACAATATTTCTCCGCAATTATAGACCATCTGTGTGAGTGACATACCATTGCAAAGAGTAACTGACTGGAAATTCTCCCCCTTCCTCCACTGTATCCGTTACCCTTCATGCGATACAAAAAAAAATTTAAAAGGCCAACACTACCTACAAGGTAATTATTTGCCCGGAAGTGCAGGGTGCAGAGAGTGTCAGCCTGAATTTAAAAGAAGTAGTACTCATATATCTCTTGCACAGAGCACGACATACCAGATCAAACGATCAACTGTCACGGTCACACCACCCAGAGGTGGCTAGAGAAAGTATCTCAAACGCCACCGGTCGATGTGAACTTGAATCGGAGGATGCGCATTATCTCCAGGGGTATTACTTGTTCAGGCAAGAACTCTGAGATCTATGACTGGTAAATGCCTGCAGGAATGCAAGAAACCAGATAATTTTTGTGTAGAGGTCATCTCCCCACTAGCACTGCGTACGTGCTGTGCTTCCCCGCTGTAGCAGGAGAACACCTTAAACACTACAGGTCGATTTGGAACAGAGGACAAAGGAGATGTCAGGGTTGAAAGCTTCCCTGGGAAAACAACAAATCCTGATATTTAGAGTGGTTACCTTTTCACTGTCCACTGAGACGTTAAATGTTATTACTGGTGGCTTGATTTTTTCAGAGGTCATTTCGACTTATGACAAACCTTTGTGTAGTAGAAAAATGTTAGTGAAACCACTTCAAACAACACTTGTTGATCACAGATTTCCTGGAGAGGAACTTGTACATTTTGCTTTTCCTCGTCGAAACCCATCGAATTAAATGGCATTGTAACAGAAACGGAAGAAAATCACAACACCTGGATAAAGACCAACTTTATTTTTCGGTTTCCCCTTTCTCCTCACCGGTGCATTATTCGGATATTGATCAAAGAGCGCCCTTACCGGTGAGCCTAACCCAGTGCCCTCATACGCCACAGGTCGCGTGTCTTGGGAAGGAGGGAACGCAAGTTTGCAGGGGACAACACTAAGGCGCTAAAACACCGAACGGGAAGAATAAACCTGGCCTTGAAACAACATTTATCTGAAATTCCACTTGTCGAATTTAACGAAGCTCTACAATTTCTCTTTCGACTGGGCTTCTTCCCAGGCCTCATATTACTGCAGTTTCCAATCAACCTGTGGCATTTGGAATGTTTTTTGCGGCCGCACGAGTTTGCCTTAAATTTTTTTGTATTATCATAACAGCGTCGTTACAAACTTTGATTTTTACGTTTGCAGTACATCCTGATGTTTGACATGGTTTTGCGACCAGATTTTAAACGGCGTGTGATGAGGGTCATGATTAATATCCCGCATAAATAGCAACCAACTTTTGATCTTGCAAATGTTTAGCACAAATTTAGGAAATGCAGCTCTTTCTAGATCTGTCGTCTAGGCTTCATTTGAGGTAAAACAAACACCCTGAATGTTTCGCGCAACGACGATTTGCAATAGACCTGCGGCGTTTGATATGGTTTATGTTGATGGAGTTTTTCATCGAGGGCGCTCCTCAACAAGCCCCCAAACAGCACATCGGGAGGAAAAAGTCAGTAGACCTAATTTGTATTTCCATACGGTGATATGACAGAGTTTTTCGTTGGAAGTGCCCTCATGGTTATTTCGTCAGAAGGGCCAAGGAAATGAAACCTAAGATGACTATTGTAGAAGAAATTGTGGATTAATTCTAAATCGACCCGTGACCTTTGAGAGAGTAATTTCTCGGTCAAGTTCTTGCTTAACTGTGTGTTGTGAGTCGTAGCCTCCAAAAATGTCTTTTAAAACAAATTTATCAGTCATTTGTTCCGGTTTATTTCCTGACCCGTTGTGGCTTCCGAGTCCTACATATACAAAAGCGACCTTTGGCGTTTAGGGTGGTATTATGCTTTTGGTTGTACAGCATGGAGTGTCAGAAGAGAAGGCCAGTGTAAATTGCTTGACCACTCATTATGCCAACAATAATCAGCACATAGTAATCCTTACTGCGGCTGTATCTGGCATTTTCAAAGCATCTCATTTCCTGCGTCCTCCTCTCCTAATAGACCTGTGGCGTTTGAGATGGCCGCAGCTTTTACTATACGATGGAAAGAATACTCTGGCGCACATGTTAACGTAGAGTAAGAAAAATGTAAACCACTTTAAGGTCCATCCACACTTATAAAATGTTAAAGACCGGCTTTAGTCAACGCTTGTAGCGCCTACGTGTCATACGCTACGATCTTGTGTTCCCTCCGTCACGACGACGTGAGGCGTTTGAGGTGACTGGACATGGTTTACCGATGAGGGTGCTCCGAACAATACGTCTGCGAGAGTAAGGCGCACGGAGGTATACAAAAAAAAATCTGGACTCGCAATGCCCTTCATCAGCTTATAGAGATCGTTGAATCCACTGGCGGCCATTCCACCGAGTCGAATACAAAGCTTGCCCGGCACAATGCCCGCCTTTGTTCTCCCTGGCGTCAATAGAAGCAAGCCAACCCACGCATTTGTATTCGGCTCGGTAAAATGGCCGCTGGTTGGCTTCTATTTCATACAAAGGCGTTGCAAGTCAAGTTTTTTTTTTTTTATACGTTCCTGGTAAGGTAACGTATCAGTGAAAACTGACAAATACAGAAAGTCTGTCTTGATCCGCGTGATGTCGAGGCCTCTCCACTTCTTTTACCAGGCAAGTAGATTCGACAGATACTGGGGAGGAAAAGTGAGACACAAATATCATTCCAGGAAATTCCCAACCAATGAGTGTTGTTGGAGATGGTTTCACTGATGGTTTTCTGCTGCAGGAAGGGCTCTCTTGAGCAATGCCCACGGGAAAGTTAAGCCACCAATAACAGTGCAAGCAACCTCTCTCTACTAGTAGGCCTAAGTACAAAGGAAAACTTTTTTTTTCAATTCTCCGTCAAGTTTTTCACCCCCGAAATCTTCTATCTCCTATGCTCCAAATCGATCGGCGGCGTTTAAAGTAAAATTTCTGGATGCAGCACATGGTTGCATAATCATACCGGTGGTGTGCATGTGCTTGAGGGGAGAGGGGTAGTTTTGAGTTACAAAAAGAACTTACGATCTTTTAAATTCCGAATATTATTAGCCAAAGACATTCCAACTGAGTCCAATTCCCGGTCAAACATTAACCTTGGTGGTATTACGAGCCCAGGCTCACGGTTTTCACGTCAACCTGTGGGGTTTGAGGTAGTTTCGGAGGCCTGTGCGCGACAGAGAGTCAGAAAAAACCGGAGTAAAATTATTAACGCGTCAGGTCATAAAAAATCAACACAAATCTATCGATTTTGCGGCTGTTTATTTTTTCAATTCACCCTATTTCCTGCGTCCTTCTTTCCGAATAAACCGCTTTTTCAGATCGTTAACACAAAACAGAAAATATCAAAGTTTATGAGCTACATTTTCAAGGAGCTTTGCTATATATTCTGACTGGGGAATAATGATACAATGTAATTAATTTTTGCCTCCGATCACAATTTTAAAACCTTAATTTTCGAGCGACATGATTTCAAGGTATGCAGCATCATTTTACTTAAACCGAAACAAATTAAATGATAATATTACATTACATTACAAGCAAGAACAACTAGGCCTAGTTAAACACCATGCAACATGAAATCTTTATGTATAAAACAACTTGAAGGATCACACTCGCTAAACGTGTGAAAGTCTACATTTGATCACGAAATCATGATGCCCTTCTTTGATGGGATCCCTTTACGTAGTTCAGTGTTCCACCTTAGGCTTTTAATTAAGACAGAACGCCGACTTAATTGCAACGCATTGTCGTTATCGTTTCACCGTGACTGAGTCAAGAGGGGTCGGGCTGCATACATGTCCATGTACAGTTCATGTACTAAATATTACAGAGTACGCATTTTCCTGCATGAATAATGCAAGCTCCCCGGCTACTGCATGACCTGTTCTGTCCTTTTGACCTGCAGAGTGCAGTCATGGCGCGCTGCAGAGGGTGCAGACTGGCAACAGTTCAGGCTATTTAAACCCCTGCTTGCTGATACATTCATTTGCGGACGAGGACCGTATTTCACTGCTGTAATATCCCTAAATCTGTCGAGTGACTGCTTCATTATTGTAAGTACGGTGTCTTTGCAATGAGAAAACGTTCACTTTTCCGTGGAGGAAACTAGGAAAGTCTCACTTAAGCTACGCTTGTAGCGATCACATACATGTACAGTACATGTACACATTGTACATGTACAGTAATGTACATGTACTTCTACACGTACATGTACACTGTACGTCTACGTCTGGGTACATGTACTGTACGCGTGCATAGACGTCGACCAGGCTAACAGGAAACGCGCTGTGTTTTGTTACTCGTTGAATGCACGTGTACAATGCAATCGCGTGTACAGTGTACCTTTACACTGTACATGTACATGCACATGTAGCCTACATGGTGTATTCTCCTTGGTATCATCTGGAGACATGCATCCTATTTTTAGAGTACAACACGTAGAATGACATGTGTCACTGACCTTTGCATCTCTGACCTTATCGTGGGTGTACATGTATTATGCTGCTATTTCGCATTCTTATTGTGATGCTGAAAGTCTTGTGCCCCATCATAATGGGGGCTCGACAATCGCGTCCCACTCCATTGTCGATATAAAGGCTGATCACAACCGCAACCTCCACTATCGTAGTTATTTCCTATTCCATATTATTTGCATTGTGATGGGAAACATTCCATACATGGACATCTTTTTCCCTTGTAGTAACATATCAGCCCTTGTGAACCCATAACGTCATAAAAAGTCAGTTTCTTTGAAAATACTAATTTTTCAGACCGATGTCATAATGTTTGTGCACGGGGTGTTATTTGATGTCAAGATCCTTATCCTATTACAAAACTGCTGCAAACTACCTCCTGACTACAGTGACCTAATAAATACAAACCACAATATGGAGGGCGTGAAGTTTCGATCCTATAGCAGAGTCTTTCTCAAAGAGAATCCTTCTTTTTGTCAAGATATGCAACTCTTTCCCGGTGTACATTCTAACCTCTATTTCACACTTAAGCCTACATTTACATCGTATGCCAGAACTGTGAATCTCGAGGTGCAGATAAATACACCTAGAGAGAGGGGAATGGGGGCAGGTTCCTGCCAGTGGAATTCCAAGTCCCCGGGGTACCCATTAGTTGCATTTTTGAAGAGTATTTTCACCCAATGCACAGGCTGCAATTAAGCATTCAGATATTAGGCGAACATGCCCTTTTGAAAAATCCCCTCAGAAACGTCATCCTTGTATCATAACGCTACTGGAACGGTTACCCAGGGTTTCCTCTGGGGTACTGATATGTGTGAAGTGGTCGAACAAATTTTACCAAAAAGGCCTAAAATAAAGTAGTTCATATAGTCTAATAGTATACATTTACTCCAAAGTTCCCCTCTAAAATAAATCGGTCTTGTATTCAGTGCCCCTCTTTACCATTTTGATTTCTGAACGATTTTAAACTGATCTATTGAAACATTTCGAAGTTGTTTTGCTTTTTCCTTTCATCTTTTCTTTGTTTATTTTAACTTTTGAATTGATGCTCACGAAAATCAGTGAGGTTGGCCGCCTCACACTTATATAGGCAGGGGAAACCCTGATGGAATCTGCTGAAACCGGGCTTTTAACAGAAACTTAATCTGGAGCCGGTTTCAAAGGTTAATGTTCATTAATTTTTCACATCATTTTCACTGATGTAGGACAACTACATGTATTTAAAGATCAATTAGGTTTTTTGACATAAAATAGTTATTTAACAGGGAATTTATTATTGTTACCAATATCATGACTAACGTGACAGCTTTTCTTTGCATTTATACAAAAAATCGTCATTTTGGTAGCCTCAGTTCCACCTCGAGAATGCTCAGAGTTAAGAAAAAATGCGTCGATGAGAGTGGCAAACAAATCTAGCGATTTGATGATGTCATAATACGGCTCTAGTCCCCCAGAGTTTCTTGACCTTGTGGCCGTAATATTGGGCTTTAAAGCGCAAGACCTGAAAAAACGGATAAAGTAAGTTAGATGTCATTCTCGGCAAATGACCAATGCCTGAAATTCATCACTGAAGACCCTACACAGGTTCAAACTGGGATGGTTCAAGTTCAACTTTATCATACGATCCAGTATACGTTTTGATCAACATTGTCGATGGAAAAGCAATTCCAAGTCACTCTCACTGTCCAACCTCTTTTAATTCACGCCCGCCGGCGCGTTCGCCCCGATTTAATGAAACACTCGTTTAATACGAGCGATTCACAATAGTGCTCCACCAAGAGTTTGCAACGCGTTGGCCAATCATGATGTGCGAAATTTGTCGACCCAATGCGCGTTTAGAAAGGGTCGACAGATTTCGCCCGTTGTGATCGGCCAATGCGTTTGACACTGTTGGAGGCGCACTTTTGTGAATCGCCCCCATTGCAGAGCCGTCATGTGACGTCACCAAAACAGGCTTCTATGGAATATGCTCCCGACGACTTTCGTTCTCAGTTTGCCTGATATGAAGGAGGACTTTAACTGTTGCTTTTTACGGCAATAGCAATCTCTATTTTGTTTTTACATAATGGATTGTTTAAAATATAACCAAATTTCATAAAAAGTGAAAATCTGAATTACCAATTTGATTGTTTAAAGTAAACTGTTATAATTTCCCTGCACGTCATGCACTTGCGGACGAGTGGATAGTCGTCCCAAATCATGAACACGTGTGGCACTTACTTGATGCACCTCATGTGATATAATTAACCCCAATAGCACATGTTCACTAGCACCTACTGACTAGATTTGTCCCAAAATTATGAACACTTGAGGTGCTTCTGTGCACGTTAAGTGTTAGTTAATTGGATTAGCACATGTTTACTAGCACGTGCTGGCTAGCACGTATGTACATGTGTTTGCCCCCAAAACATGAACACTTGAGGTTCATGTACTATTTTTGCACCTCGTGTTAGTTGACTCCACTTGGACTTCTTTACTATAGCACATACCTACTCATTGGTACATACATGTATCCAAAAATTAAGAACATTTGAAGTACATTTACTAGTTAATATACCGAAGGTGCTGGTTGCATCCGTTTACCAGCCCTGAAGATGAATACATCAAATGAGTCTCAAAATCACACTTGCGTGGCCCTTTTGTTATCAAAAACTATAAAACGCATGGTTTATTTCTTATTATTGTATGAAACGGATGTAATTTTATTCACGGTCGAAACAGACCCGTTACAAGATTATTATAAATAAACAAGTGTATGCCTTCAATCTGTACAGCATATCAAGTATGTGGTGCACACGTATACACCCACCTACCACTTTTATGTGAATCACACCTTGCCCATATGTGTAATAAAACTGGTCATGTTTTCGACGTCACCATGACGTCTTAAAATATCCACATGACATATCAGGTCGAAGTTACCCTATGAAGGTTACTTCTTGTGTTCATGTTGAACACAAATTAGTTGATGCTCTCAAAAGAATGACATTAATATAATGTTTTTGTTATTTCCCTCGTTGTAAGAGAACATTAAATATATCAAGAACCAAACAGTTTGTACCTCGACTATCAGCATGTATAAGCGTATTCCACTCAATTAAGGCGTACTGTTTATAAAATGCATGTACATGTATTTATCTAGTTTTCCTGCTTTGAATTATTTGTCCTGTATAAACTGAAAACTAAATAGAAAAAACCCATTTAAAAAAATCCCAAACAAATTTGAGTTACACTGAAAGGATGCTTTACGCAAAATTTCACTGAATTCCTCGCTAAGGCTTTTCTTGGAGTTAATACACAAGATTTGCCGATGATAAGAAAACTCCCCCACTTTCGTCTGAGCGGCTCTGTTCGATCCGAGCAGAGCGGTGACTTGCAATGGTGACATGTACTTCAGAATGGCATTACATTCAATAACAGTTATTACTCCATGGGAGAAATGTTACACTCTCTTGAAAGCTCAATAACTTTGTGAATTCCTGCACTGCTAATACAAAGAGAAAACAAAACGGGTTTTGTCTGGTTTATTTTCTACAGTCATGTGATTTTTCACCCAGACCGGGACCATCATCAGGGCAAGTCGACAACATGATAATCGAAACAGTAATTGAACCTATGACAGGTCATTCAACGCCACAGCCTGGTCCCCTTGCTAGGGGCATATATGCTCTCATCCTCGTCCTTTTTGAAGTGCTTATTCAAACAGTTGCATTTGCTGGCAGACATTTCAACACAACTAAGCAGTTCCCCATCTCGACCGCCACGCTCGTTCTCTCGGTGGAGCTGACAAAATTCGCACTTTGTTACCTGGCATTCTGCGTTCAGCACAGACGACTGCGTTTCATGCCGTCACCAGTGTTTCTCCTTCCTGCAGTTTTCTTTGTCACCGCTAACAACCTCTTCTTCCATTGTCTCAACTACATTCCCCCGCCCACTTGGAACGTTCTTCTTCAATCACGCTTGGTGTTTGCTGCATTAGCTAGTTATGTTATCGTTGGGAGGCCTTTGGGAAGATGGAAATGGCTGGCGATGATAACTTTTTTGCTAGCAGCAACATTAGCAGTATTATTATACCCTGAAGTTGGGAGATTCAAGCCTGCGTATGAAAAGGATAAGAAAGATGATACTGCGAGGAGTCTGTGGTGGGTTATTGCAGCGGTCTTTGGTGTCACTTGTTCTGCTTTCTCTCATGACAGCGCCGAGGTATTTTTCTTAAAAACTATTATGTAATATACTGGCCTCATATGAAAGTTTCCGGCTTCTGTTGGCTTCTGTTGGAATGTTTATTCTTTGGTATGATGGCATCTGCTTAATGTATAATTGTTGCTGGGGGGTAGTCATTTGCTTTAGCCTTAAAGGGCTAGGCCTTTTTGCACTCTTTAAAAAATTGGCAAAAAATCTCAAGCCTGATCTTTGACAAACCTCGCGTGGATGTAACAGCATACAATATGAGAACATTTGTGAAACTGCAGTTAAATCCAACATGTAGCTTTTGCTGATCAGGTCGTTTGAAGTTCAATTATAATGTTTAGAAATTCAATTCTTTTCTTGCACCTTCACAGTACGTCAGTAAACTTTGTAGTCGACCAATTACAGAGAAATACATTCAGCTCTATTTCTTCAGTACAGTTCTCGCTGTCACGTGGGCAGAGCTCAAAACCAATGGCAACCTGTTGCTGATGGATATGAAGGTAATATTGCATTTTAGTGCCATCACAATTTTTATTTTCAAAATAAAAATCCAAAACTGGACATGAGAGGAAAAAACAGTTAAAGAAAATGCACCTTTTCTGATGTTTCTATTTCTGTTGTAGCTTTTTGCGAGCCTATTTGATCAATGTGCTGTTTTATTTAAATTTGACTAAATTCGACTTGCACTTAGACTCGGACTCGACCCTAAAGACACCACGAGACTGTGCATTTACGGGTACGGTGGATGCCGCTATAGCGAACACCGCTGTACCGAACATTCGGCTTTACCGAACATCGTCCTTGGCTCCCAATATTTTGTGCATAGAACCTACCGTTTGTAATTCCCGAACGTCAACATGATAAAACAGTCAGTGTTTTTTTTTATGTTGGAAAGTGACAAGTGGCCTTTATTTCCCTATGGATTAGGACGGAAAGCCACTAGTTGTCAACGGTATTGAATAGACACTGGATTTGCGACTCCACATGATCGGGTGCGGAAGAAAACCTCGCGTACGGTGGCATTGCACTAACAATAGTCTTAAGAAGGCGCCGCTGATACACAAATCAACCGAGATTCGCTACGGCATGTATCAGAGATCGATCCTGAGCGGTAGTTTCAGGAAGTTTAGGATAAACTTGATATCAATTTTTTGACTCAAGTTTGAATAAAAAAACAAAAATAATAATCAGATACATTTCTAGAAACCTTAAACTGGAATGCAACGGCAAAACATCACGAAAACAGCAAACCAAGGTATCACAAGAGGGTGCACTTCGGTTAGACAAGAGAGGGCGCTATTCAACATGGCAACGAAACGTTCGGCAGTTAAAATCGCTTCACCGAACGACCGCTGTACCGAGCATTTAGCGCAAACCCCGTCTTGTTCGTTATAGCGGTGTTCCACTGGTACATGTGTTTAGAAACCTTGTACCCGTTTCTGTGAAGATCGAATACCCTTAAGAAAAATACTTGCATGCACATTCATAAATAACAACACTCTTGTCACTTAAGTTTAAACCACGCCCACTGCACATGCACTGCTCATGCATGTAGAATTACATGCATTGATCGCCGCGCCGTTAACGTGGACCCATGGACCGGGAAGTTACTGCGCAAATTTAGCGATCGTCCAATGAGAGCCTGAAAATGCTTGCGCGTCCGCCATTGTGGCGAAGTCACTTACGAATTAGTCAGTCTTGGGCCAATTAGACGGCAGAACTCGATAGCGGACTAAATCGAGCATATGGCGCGCGCGCGATTTCTATTGCGCCCTCTCTTAACTTCATATCACCAATCGACGGCTCGGTACGATTAGGACAGAGATAGATCTGCGGGTTGTTCTTTAAGTGTGCTTTAACTCAAATTCGAAGTGAAACAAAAACCTTAGCATAGGGTACGCAGAAGAAAAAAAGAAAAACAATGGGAACCGTTTTTCTTCATCGGCGGTCGTATATACTTATACGCAGTGCTGGCCCATCACGAATCCCCGCCCAAAATAATTTGTTTAACCTGTTCAGTGAGGAATAAGGAACTAATGATAAAACCTTACACCGTCGTACTGTTTTAAGCTGCAGAAAAGACATTTCCTAAACGTATCCCTAAGGCTAGAAATGTATTGCGTGTATCTGTAGGCAGCTTGCATAGGTGTGAAAGTCTTGTGCATGCAACGTCGACGTGCACGGTTTTGCTTTTGAAATTCTGAAGTTATAAGTTGTGTTTGTAAACTCAGGACTGGCGGCAGTAGTAACTCATACAATATGGGTCCGACATCGGAAATATAGGATGTGAGATTGTATAGCTTAGCTAAACTATCCTGAAATTCAACTGAAGCCTTGATGTACGGTTATCAGGTATCTGGTAATATGCACCAACTACGTGGAATACATCTAAAAGTTTTATTTGAAAAACAACATGAAATTGCGATTTTTAAAATAATACAGTATAGATGTAACAGCACATTTTCAAAGGGCATTTTTAAAAAATGTTTTGTCATAATTTGCCTAAATTTCACATAAATGTAGTTGTTTATTATTTTGTTTTGCATACTGTTTTGATGTTTTCTTTGCAAACCATGAAGAATAATTTATGTATTGAAATAATTATTGCGGTACTTTGATTTTTCAACCCTCAATTTCTTTAGGACTATTTCTTGCATTGTAGTCATATCAATGTCAATGCATTATTTGTGCTTTTCATGTTGTCCAAAGCTTGGGTCGAGGACGGGCAAAATGGCAATATTTCTAAAAAGGACCGTCCAGTTATATTTTTCATCCGTAAAAGAATCTTACTGTCCTGTTTCAAAATTCCAGCGCTATATTTCTTAAAAATGGTTTACAGGAACACTTTGATTTTCGGAGACGGACATGGACTCAAATTAGGAGGACTTCGACTCGGAAATAGTGGACTTGACAATCGCACTGGTGCAAACATCCGGGAAAATTTCCAAATACACATTCGCATTTACCATTCGTGCTGTTCTGTTCTATTGGCTCGTTCTCAGTTTTAAATTTAAAATACGGAGGATATAATCACAAAGGATCTTATAATACGATTTCCCTGCAGATGTTTTTCCCGTTGGATTTCTACCTGAGTATCTTAAACTTAATCGTGGGTACGTTGTGTGGTCTTGCTGTCACGTCCATCTCCACGAGTAGACTCTCCTCCCTTGCCGATGAGGCTTCCTTCATCACAGCCTGGATTTCTCCTCTTCTCTTCCTTGCTTCCACACTTGCCTGTTGGTTAGTGTTCCCCAAGCAGCAAGGCTACCCGTACGCTGTTACGGCGTTAATATTCGTGTTCATGGGGATAGCATCATTTTTATTTTCCATTCACACTTCGCCACTATCGCAGGAACAGCGTAGGGTAGGCCTACCCATAGGGCAGGAAGCATGACATGTCCTCTGTTTTTAAAGACTATGTATGATGGTTTCTTGTGGTCTTATATAAGACCAGTCATCAGCAATTTTTTTTAATATGAAATATGCACTTCACTGAATACGTAAAAAATGCATCACAATATTTTATCCCCCCCCCAGAAAAAATGCGAGCAGGTGTGTCCTCAGCATACATGGTAAAAGCAAGCCAAGGAGATTCGCAAGTTGTAAACCCAGTGTGCTTATGAATAGGCCTACCTTTAAGTGTGTCATTCGTTCACAGAGTCTGCATCTAACATGTTACTGACCCCACACTGTAAAAGGGTTGGTCAATTGTGGGTTGATATTTTGCCCAATGTTGGTAAAAAATATCAACTTAGCAACCTTTGGGCAAATTCTTCCCAATATTTGGTCAATGTTTGACCAACAGTTACGGAAAATTGACCAACAATGTGGTAGCCTTAACCAAGGTTGGGCAAATAACAAATGCCCAACACTGTTTTGCCCAACGTTTTTTTTACAGTGCATGACGTTTGACATAGGGGAATAGACGTACACAAATAGAAGCCAACTAAACCTATAAGAAGGCAAAGTCGAGATTGCAGTATGCAACCAATACAAACTATGAGGGTGTTGCCTGCCATCAATGTAAAGAAGGCGATCAAAATTGTGAAGCAAAAAATGGAAATGATGTTAGCTTATAGACTCAAAGTGCATTGTGGAGGTTTGCTTTAAACACTCTATTGCACTTACCCTTTGAATTCTAACGATTCTTCTTCACATACCCGTTCTGTACTGCTGTGTTGCATATTCGTTTTCGTCAGTAAGCCTGAATTATGATAGATTGCATATTTAAAAAAAAATAGCAAACAGAAATACAGAAATTCACACCCAAACTTTCCGGGCGCAAAATTCTTTCGAGTTTCACAAAATATGAGCTATTTTGTTACCTTTATGGCCTTTTGAAAGGCCTTGATGTTACAATGGGGGCTTTCACTTGCTTTTTGGGAGCATTTTCATTTTCTGGTAAAATCACTGTGAACAAACTATTGCAAGGGTATTTTGCTGTCGTTTTGGTTTTATGCTGATTATATGTGCATATTCTTGAGCAAATACGTAATTTTATACCGGGAATGAAACCTCATAAGTGCATTTATTTGTACACAGACTGTTACATTGTTTTAGATTTGCTGGCCTAAATTTTCCCCTTTCTTGGGAGGGGCGTTGTTGTGTACGTATTTAAAGCAACGTTTTCTTGGTTCAAAATTTGAACAGAAAACCAACTCACTGAAACATGTCATCCATGGGTGACATATCAAGTAGCAGAGTACACATGTACGTAGTTGTCCATTTTAATACTCTACAAATGACACTTTTAAAGGATTGCACATAATTTTCATACATTGAAAAAGAGTTTTAAAAATGCAGAATTGTTTGTAAAAAAATATCATTGCTGCTTCACTTTAAAGGAATTCTCTAATTTTATGGCAGGCATAAACACGTATAGGACAAGACAGGGTTCAAGGGAAATGTACTTGCGTATGTATCCTTTGCTGTGTTTTGTAATCCCTACTTGCTCTCCACATAAGTCAGGAAAGAAGATAAAAAACTTCAGCATTAAAATGTGCATTAGTTATATGTTGTTTTTTACAGTTTTGTCGGGCTTTTTTATAAAGAATTTTTCACTAGATGGGCAAGTGTTAAAGTAATGTACCCATCGGCTTGGTTTTACCGAAGTTGTCAAGAGCGCTCAAACGTTTATGCACTTGCACCTTGAATTTGGCAATCAATGGGGAAATTGGACTAGATGGGCAAATGGCTACTAACATTTAAGTAAAAAAGACTTGAAAAACATCTCACGGCAGTATGTGAGTCCAGGTTATTGTCACCAGTCATGGCAGATTCGCTTGTTGGTAACAATTTTTTTTGCATGCCCTTTGATGCCGTTCCCTTGATTATTTTTGTAATTTTCCCCTTTCATGGAATAGCAGTTTGAAATTTTATCACGCATGAGTTGCTTGAAAATAGGCCAATTAAGTGTGTGCATGCCCAGAATAGGTGACGAAAATAAGCACGTTAATATTTTATAAGATTTCTGGCTTTTCAGTGCTCGTAGTTTAGTTTTCTCATATGGGGCTATGGTGTATGTTATTTCATACATTAAATTTATAGAGAAATTGCACCTTATAGAATAATATTTTGCGTTGTAGACTTCTGTGTTGTATAATCTCTCAAAGAAACAAAAAGAAAATCAAATTGTTAGTCTGATAGTGGGAAAAGGTTAATCTGCGCTTGCGGTTGCGACTTGCAAAAGGTTAAAAACCTTTACTGCACGTTGTAGTCCAATGAAAGATAGAGGGCGGTATGTATGAGTCATGCCCAGAGCTAGCTGGACGCGTAACAAACTGACGCTGGAAACATTTAAAACATTTCCACTATCATTCCAAATGACATAAAAGAGCACTATGATTTGCAGACTGTTTTTGAAATAGTTCCTTGGTTCCGTTTTCACATCATTTTAATTTTAGTCTGATAGTGGGAACAGGTTAATCTTCGCTTGTGGTCGGGACTTGCAAAAAGTTCAAGACCTTTTACCGCATGTTGTAGGCCAATGAACGATAGAGGGCGGTATGTATAAGTCACGGCCATAGGGGTGGACGCGTAATTTTTTTTTCCTAGAGGTTAGGGGTAATTATATACGGGATTGGATAACTGGAAGCTCGATCAGGTGAGTGGACACTTACAAGCTTAAGTGCTAAGGTAAACGCTGGGCTTTACTTTCCTATCATAAAAAATCCTCCAACTAATTCCCCACCAAGACAAAAAATCACTACATGTGGACTAGAACCCTCGGCTTGTTGGTTCTAAGTATAACGCTCTTCTAACAGAACTGCCGTGCAAGTCGGCCAGAGAGGCAATTTTGTTGTTGCTTATGCTTAAAAGTTCGTGTACCCATTTGTGATAATTACCCTCAACCTTCCGAGAGAAAAACACTTGCACAACGGTTAAAATACGCCCATTTTATTATAATTACCTCTAACCTTCCTGGGGAAAAATTACGCGAGCTGACGATTCCTGACGACCCTTCGTAAGACCTTTGATTAGGTATTGCCCACGGCTAAAAATAGTTCATAACGCAGCATGTCAGGGGTCACCGGGGAAGTCAGGTCGGGATGCACTTTTCATAATACACCATGGCACAAAACGCACTAGAGAAAAGAACTCATTTTGTTGACAAATGACAGCAGTATCTAACCAGCCATTTGGTCGATTGCCCTAAAGCAGGGCAGAGATTTCTTGTCACATGTGGGGGATGATTTCTGAGAGCTCAACACTGGCTCTATCCCAGTTGAGATTGTGACGCTGGCAAGTACAGAGTACGGTGGTGCAGGCTAAGGATGTGTGCATAGTCACTGCAGGGTTCTCCCCGGGATATTTTAAAAGTGTGGGCGGATTTCTGTCCTTGTTCACTAACAAATTGCATTCTAGAGCATTTCTTGAGCTTTTCACTAGTGATTTCAAATGGAAAAATGACAGATTTAAAAGTAACTAAGTGCTACATTCTAATGATTTTTTTTCTACAAATATGTTTACATTGCAGAAAAGTTGGTAAATGACTCCAAACTGACATATCTCTTGATTGCCAGTGTCACAAAGTTCTATTTTAAAATTCCTTGTGTGATTGTGTCCCTCTCAAAAGTGATTTTGCTATTAAGTCATTGTCATCTGCTGTGGTAATTAAAGCAAAACGAAGTTAGTGTTTGAGGAAAATATTCAGCGATTTTTATATTCCTCAGTGCATGATGTGCATTATACCGATAGGGCCTACATTGGTGTTTGCTGGTGCATGTGCTTCAGGTTTTTGAATTACTGTACGTTTAACAGAATTTATAAACATGTTTGTAGTAAAGAATTGGGGGAAAAACTTTTAACTACTGCCCAGGGCAATCACAATTATGAACGAACGTTGAGACAAATTGAATAATTTTGGGCACAGGGAAACTTCCACTCAACCATGACTCAACTTACAGGCAAATGTATTAGGTCTTTCCCCCATTAAATATAATAAAAACTGAAAAAATTATTGCTCTCAACATTGCATTACAATACCCATAATTACTCACATTTTTGAAGTACAAAAAACACAACAGTATGAAGGTCAGGCACGTGAGGTTAAGATGCAGGGTATCAAAATTTATCGTGAATTCTGAAGTTCATATATATATCATAGCTGCGCTGTTGCCAAAATATCTCTTAAACCACGTAACTTTGTAAACTGAAATTGAGAGGAAAATTTCGGAAAAGTCATGAAGTAATAAAAAAGGGGAGAAAAGCGCTTTGGAAACAGCGCTTAATGCTCACCATGAAAACTGGAACACCACGGAGAAAATCGCAAAAGTCAATCCGTATCCACCCTTGTACAGCCCGCGGCACATGCTACCACGCACAGGCTGCTATGATGACCGGTCGCCGCGCAGGCAGGGCCCGCCGCGTCGCCCGATGGCCACTGCTTAGGCAGGGAGGGCGGCGGCCGCTCGGAAAATCAAGATGCTGTTCATCGCTCTGCGGTCACATGCGCTCATCTCACGATCTAAAAACCATTCTTTCTAAGGTATTTCTGATCCAATTTATTTTTTAAAAATGCATACCCAGTTTCTTTCTCTCGTAGATGTCACGAAGAGCTTTAAAATGCCACTTGGAAAAATGCCACTTTTCACTGATGAAACCTCCATTCATGCAAAATCGACGGAAATAGCGTGGTCCCTGGGGACAGAATTCTTTTTAGCTGTAATCATTTCCACAGGGATACATACTGTAGAACTACGTTTTGGTACACGCAAACGATCCATGCGGACAATCTGCGCGCAGTAGTCCATTTCGATTCCTACTTTTGGACGTGCAATGGTAGGCCCAATAACGTGCACATCAGGGCGAAAAAAATAGGTATCGGGCATTTTTTGCGTGTCAGCAATGATAGGCAAATAATAAATTACGCGAATATCAGGCAGATACGCAGTTGTACGTGGGAAGAACCGTGAGTGAGGGACTTGAAAAGTGTGTGTGTGGAGAGGGAGATGATTATATCAGTAATCTCGCCCTCAAGAGGTGGAGGACGGATGTATCCCCCATGCCACGGGATCTCCTTCCATGCCGTAAAGAAACATTTTAGACGTAGGCGTAGTATGTCATATCTGTCATGTTCCTCTATTCTTGCTCTATATGCTTTGACAAAGTTATCGCTGCGGCGCTTATCTTTAATACAAAACGAGCCAACAAGAGGATTTCAATTTAAGCGTTAATTCAAGAATTCCAAGACCCAGGTGTGGCCGTAAATACACCCATTACTATGACTCTTCGCATTAAATTTTTGAGTGCGTCTTATACTTGCGCACGTGCGCTGATATGGTCCATAGTATAGACGGACGAAAATGAACAACCATCGACAATGCCATCCGAATGTTGACGACAAGTTAGGAATAATTGCCGTATTCGGAAAGGGAAGGAATTCCTCCGTTTCGTCACTTGACAGCGGGTGATACTGGACCCGTAGCCTACCCAGACTCCTCAGCTCAGGGATCCAGACTAGGACATGCCATACCGGTACCTGGCTTGTCCTTATCGCTCTTTACATGTACATGGTGCATTCCATTAAATTGGTAAATTTATGCCCAAGAGGCTCCTTACAATTTTTGATTCCTTAACTTACTTAAAACAAGAGGTGTAAAATCCGATCTGATTGTAGAAATGTTTATTAAGGATGTCAAGAATTTGGCCCTCCCTATTCCCAGGATTTCGCCTGTAGAGCCAAAGTTGACCTCTGATGACACGCTTCTAGAACCCTTGGATAGGAAAAATTACGTGCAACTGTATAAAATTTTTAACTTTTCCCCGTTTGTTTACTTCTTTAAAGAATCACCTCGGAGAAAAAACATAGAAACTGAAACAAAATAACAGAAATATCCTGCCGAAAGTTGACTTCTCACTTCCAAAAATCTAAAGTATATAAATTCCAGTGAATATAAATTCCAGAATATAAATTTCTAGCCTATGGGTCCCCTATACCCTTGACTATCTTCCCCACACTTCCCTCCATCAGACTGATACGCCTCATCACTGGTTTGCCGGCACTCTGCTGACCCCAAGCCATCGGTTGGATCCAGAGTTAACAGCGCACACGCTGAGTTACACACCCGCGAATCCCGTTCCACGTTCCACCGCTTCCGGGTTACCTTTATAACCGAGCTATCCACTTCTGTCCGGCACACTCTTCTGAGGACGGCCAGAGCTCAGTGGCCGAAACATCTAGTTAACACTCACCGGTTCTTTTAAGAACCACACCTCGCCTAAAAGAGATTGATTCCATGGCGTACCCGCAAACCTATTTCTCATCTTAAAATCCCGTCTCCACACCTCACTGCCCTCTATACACACTTAAGCTGCCTCATCACTGGACCCTCTGCAGTCTCCTGACTGTGCGAAACGTTGAGAACCACTGATTCTTTTTAGAACCCCCGTAAATCAAAAAGAGATATGCATGTATGTATAACCCTGGTGCTAACACAAACCTATCTAGTTTACTAATTGACGGAGTGAACCAGCTTCTGGATCACCTGTCAGATTCCAGTCTGGATGGAGGATATGTGTGAAACTGGCCAGACAGGTCGACGTCTGGTACGGTGCAAAATCTCGGTATAGCACTGTGCTCACCCACCGCTGCCGATGCACCACTGGTCGTGCATGACGGGCGAGTCGCGTCTCCTACGACGCTTCGAAATTTGATCAAACGGTGAAGAGCCATAGCCATACTAGTGGCTGGTGTAGTCTCACATGGAGACACCGCATGGCGAGTTGCCAACATAGACACATGGCACGCAACATAAACTATTGAAAACATTTCTTACAGGAGTTTTTCTGGATTTTTTACAAAGGACATTAGTCACGATATACACGATAAAGTGCTAAATTTATTTTAGATTTAAAAAAATTTAAATTTAAAAAAAAAGTGATACCAATTCATTTTACGTAACGTCGTCATTTATTGTCCACAGAAGCCAGTATCGAAAAATCACACGCAATTTTTATTGGTACTATTGAATCCTACTGAATTCCGTACTATATTCGACTGTCAACTCGACTTTTGGTTTTGTAAGGACTTGCTGTCACAGAGCATGAACCAAATTTAAGTTCTTCAATCTGGTTTTAGCCAGCTAATGAACATATTTGTAATGATGGCCTCTATAGTGGCTGTAGAGGATTGATTGAAGTACATGTATAGGCCTATGTCTGACCATGGAGGTAGAATCACACCTCCATGGTCTGACGCGACATTTCAGGAGGCGCGACTGAAGAATATTCTCTTTTCGAGACTGGTAATACAATTATTTTCACAGAAATGTACATGTACATTGTTTATCCCCGGACAGTTACTTTAACAAAATAATCCAATCACATTACGTCATGCATTTGTCCTTCCCAGCATAAGGTGGCCCAAACTACTCTGCAGTGCCGGTGAGAACAAAAGCGGGCAGTACAGGTGGATATGTACGGAGTCAGTGTTGGACCGTGGTCAGTGTTGAAGCAGCGAACGAGAAGTGAAAATGGCGGCTACTGGTTCAAAGGCAACAGGAGGTATCTTGTTCAGTCTCGGGAGTGCTTGGCGGAGACAATCGATGACCACATTGCTTCGTGGGAGCAGTGCTTCAGTACCATCGTACGCGAAAGCGTCTAATGTCAGTGAGAGTCCTTGGCCAGGGCACGCTCTCTGTTACACAGTCAAAAAAGAGCAGCCAGAACCACTGCCAACAAAAGTCAAAGGTTTGTCACTTTACTTTTGTGTCTAGTCTATCAATTGTTTCCCAGTCCATCGCTGTGGGCCGGAGGCCCCAGGACACTCCTATCCATGACATTTAAAGCAAGATATGGGACGGAGAGAACCCTCCCTCGCCTTTGTGTTGGTCATTTTTTGATCAGATTCTCAGGAATTCTTTACAGACTTCTAGGGGGATGTGTTGGGTAACAACAGTCTAGAGTGTGTATAGGGATTGGACAGGTAAGAGGGGGTACCCCTCCACCCCATATCTTGCCTGGCATAATCATTGCATGAACTGCAATTTGTCCAAATCAGCCAATTTGTTTGTTAATGCTATTTACTTTGTAACTTTCCATGCACTCCTTTCATTTTTTGAGTTTGCTGCTTGGAGAAAAACCGAGAAAATGCTGTTCATTTTTACCACTAAAATGCAGCTTGTGTAATTTGTCTTGCAAAAAATCCATGGGTGTATAATCATAATCATGGTATATAATGTAATGCCCAGGCGAGATCGTCGATCTGCAGACCAATTATGGCCCTCCGAAAATGTGTTTTAATCACGGCTTCGTGTAGTACTAGTGGTCGGCAGATTTGCTCTTAAGTTTGATTTCCTCCTTCAGCAATGGATCCTTGCTCTATGAATAACGCAACGTTGAAAAATTGCCGAACAATTCATTGAGCAGTGAAGCATGGAGCTACAAAGTGACTGCACTGAGTTACCACAGTTTACACAGAACTGGATAGGAGCGGCCATGATCGACTGTGTGCTGTTCCCTTTGGACCATACCATTGCATGCATTTGTAGGGGTGATTGTGAGATGATAATATACTCGCATGAGGTACATGTATAGTTCTTTTTTCATAGAGAAACCTTCATTTAAAACCAATCTAAATTCTCCTTTAGCCTATAATCAAAGTTAACTATCTATTTTATCAGTGAATAATGAGTTTGGGCGTACTGAAGGTACGTTGGCCGTTTTTAGTTTTACTTGTTCAGACTCTGCCAATAGCTTAACGCACCACACCTTGCATTTTGGTCGTGCCATGGACTCTTGTCACCTTGATATCATCAGCAAATGTACATATGTACACCGTAATCTCAATCAATGCAGGACTGGTAAATGCCATTTTATTGCGATACTCAAAAAAGTTGAACAGCAGAATATCGAGACTGTATTTTCCAGAAACAGTCAGCAAATAAGCATTTTTTTCAAATAGGTAGTAATTTTCCAATACTGTTAAAGTTCATGCACAGGCACATACTGAGGGCAATGGCTACAAGTAGGAATGTTTACTCAGACAGATACAAGTATATACTGATATATGCTCAAACAATATTCATATATTCTCTGCAGCAGTAAAATAAAATTAATTATTTTGGGTGTCAACATTTACGGGTTGCTTGTTACATTCAAAAATTATGCAAATAAAAGTGTGCATGGTTATATTTGGTACCACCATCAAAAATCAAATTTCAAGCTGTTTTAGTAAAAAAAAAAGACCCTTCTCTTTCAGCTTGGCTTGTCCAGGCCTCAAAGACTCAAAAGGCAGTGTCGGGGGACATCATTTTACACCTGTTAATTTACATGAAGTAGGGTGAAGTCATGAAGATCAGTGCAGTATGATGTTTAACATTCTGAGAATTTCCAATCCTAAATGTACATTCAGTTTACATGTATGTGTATTTTAAAAGTTACTTACAGTATTCCCTTCTATTGTTTCCGAGTCTGCTCACCTGATAAGTCTGAACCCCTTCCCCTGGCCCACTTGTTGCTTTATTTCTTTGGGAAGGGGAGGGAAAGCAAAGCCCCCTCCCCAGCCTGTGGCGCCATCACTGCTCACTACGTGACTTCAGTTTCTAGCCAGTAAAATGGCAGCATCTGCTGCATTCAGAGCTTTTGATTTGTTATTCAACGGACAAGCTACATTGTAACATCATGGTTCAACTATCAAAAGTTAGGGTTCAGCTTTCAAAAATTGGGACTCAACTTTCGGAATCAATTTAAAACATCATTAATTGCTTACCTCAAAAGCTGTTACTTGCCCTGTTTCAGTATGTGATGGCCGAAGCGCACATACATGTACATGTACCATCTACAACTGTTCTGGTGTAGATGTACTTCATTGTTCAAATGATTTTTCAAAGTGTACATGTACATGTATGTATGTGGTGCACTGATGGCGCTATTGCATATTACCCGGTACTACGGGTGCAGAGGTATGAAATCTGCATCAGAGGATGTGGTGCCCACCACATTTCGGTGAAGGGTTCTGACAGACTTTACTGACCGCTATGTACATTTACTTTGCAACATTGGTGGTCACCCCACTAAATGTACATGTATGTACTGCATCAACCACTACTACTCAAAGGTGGATCCAGAATCAAATTTTGGGAGGCCGGGGAGGACAAAATTGTTTTGGGGGGCAAACATTTTATTTTTTACATTTGTGTATGCTTTTTGCAGGAAGAAAAGGAAACACAAGGGGGTAGACCATAAAATTGCCTTTCATTGTTTAAAAAGACTTTTGCTCTTTTTTTGGAGGAGGTGGGGAATGACGCCCACTGCCCCCCCCAGCACCATTGATACTGGGGTCTATTCCAAATTTAGTCAGAAAAGTATATGGAAAGCAAGTCTACTATTCTATTGTTTAAAAGGCCAAAAAAGTCTCCGAGTCCGGTTTCTGGTCAGGAGCTGGCTCCAAAAGTGGTGTGTTGACGCAGCTTCCCCCCCCCCTTTTTCTGGAAATGATGTACATGTACAATACCCTACCTGTATGCTTCTGTCACACGTATACACATGTACTGTCAGCTACTGAATGTTTCATGTGGTGCAAGAATATGCATGTACATGTATATCAGTGCCACATCAACATAAAAAATAAGTACATGTACAGTGCATGTACATGTATAGTACAGTATCAAGAGTACATGTATACTGTACAGGTACAATAGTACACAGCTGTAAGCCTTTTCTTTCCAGATTTCTCCCAGCAAGACTGTCATGCTAATCAGTCTGGCCATTAATTAGCCTGACATATGAAATCACATTTTAAAATGTTGCCGTTATTTCATGATTTATGTAACAGCTGTTGAAGTGCTTAATTGACCGCAAACTACTACAACTACATATAGTGGACATTTCTTACAGTATTTTAGAATGTTTTTTGTGACGTGTACACATTATTTGATTTCCATCAAACATTATTATGGTAGCACAACAGTTAGATACTTTGTACTTCAAGGCCCCTTCAAAAATACTTCAAAGAGGAACTGACTTGAAAAGTGAACTCAAACCTCGAAAAGCAAACTTGATATTCCAAAAGTTAACTTCAGATTTCTGCAAGTTAATTCACAGAACCATGTATATTAATCTCAGGTTTTATTGCTTGAACCGTGCTTGTAGGTGTCGTGATGCGAGCATGTTTCCACAAAATTTCCTGCCGCAGCACAAAGTTTGTTGGCCGCATCTCAAGATGCATCACACATGCTTACCATGCAATATTCGACAGGTGCGTTCAATTAGCTTCCCTGAATACACCAGTGTTACACCAAGGGAAGCCTTGAAATGAGGCTAATCGAACGCTGCAGTGTATACGCCAAGGCATTCTGGGAAAAAGGTCAAGTCCCCACCACGTTCCATCACGTCCATGCAGGAACAGTCCATCCGTGACATCATTACACTCAGGTTGCCTCCAGAGACATGCTCGCTAGCCGAGGTAGTGGTGGCTGACACCAGGGCAGGCACGAAGACCAGTTGATGGCTAAACGAACGGTCTCTTGTTTGAGTAAGTAAGTTTGACTTACACGTGTAAGTTAATCAAACGCACCCCAAGTATACAAACATTGTTCGCCAGTTTCCTGTCGTGATTACTGTATATGACATGCGTTGTGCATATTGGTGCAACCCTGGTAGCAAGACTGTATGGGAACCAAATGGGTCCCAAATGGGTCAACATAAATCGTTCCTATCCTAAGAACGCTAAGTAGAACAGGGCAGATAAGACTTGAAGGTTTTCATGGTGAAAGAACTACATGTATATAAGTAAAAACGATTGCGGTTACACCGTGGATCAATCTCTTTCTTGATTATATGTGGTTCTGAGAAGAACTGGGGAATAACTTGACATTTCGAACAGTGTACTCTGTCTTCAGGAGACTGCAGGATTCCGACTGGGAGTGGAGCGTATATGGTGTAGAGAGGGATCCAGATGTAGGGATTAGCTTGGTGAAGTGTTGAGGCGGGAACAGTGATGTCGAGAACAATGGATGCTGCGCTGGATCCTGGTACTACATGACCTGGGTGTGTGCTCACTCAATTGTGTCAGTTGGGGTTTGCAGTGGGAGAGTGAACAGCTGGGTGCCAAGGGTAGAGAAGACCCATAGGCTAACTAGGGAGGGGGGAACCTAACTGGGGAGTCCTAGGGTATAGGAGACCCATTGGACTGGGATGTGAGGATGGGGCGCCAGATATCACTGATGTTGAAGCCAATGTCTTCGGGAACTGTGTCATGCTTGATGATTTCTATGGCTTCTCTGGTGCAGTGGGGATACCATCGTTCGATGCTGGTGATGAGTTCAGCTTGGTTCCAGTTGATGTGATGGTGTTCAGTGTGGGAGTGCTTAACTATTGACGACTTATCAAGCTCTCCCCTCCTGCCATGGGCTTTGTGCTCATTGATTCGGGAGGTCCCTCCCCGTCTCTCCGATGTACACTTTGCCACATTGGCAAGGAATTCTGTACACCCCTGGTCTGCGCTGGGGGTCCTGCCGGTCCTTGTGCGAGGTGAGCAGGTTGTGCAACTGCAGTGGGGCTGTGTGGAAAACTCGGATACTGTACTTGTGGAGAATGCGCTGGATATAGTGGGAAGTACTGCCTAAGTAGGGGAGGGTGATGGAACTAGGGGCCCTAACTAGTTGGCTTTGGGTATAGGAGACCCTTCGGCCAGGGTTGGATCTGGGATCTTGGGTCTTGACTTGGCTTGGCTTGTATCCGTTACATTG